TCCCTCCCCTCAGCACCCAACTCCCTCCTCCCCTCAGCCTCATTCCTTTCCCCAGTGAGACCAGAGCTAGCCATCTGTCTTTACACCCCACCCTGTGGGATAGTTTGTTGCTTGGGGAAAGTTGTGAATACAGGTGAGCTAAACGGGACGGGAGGGTCCAGCCCCACAAGGGGAAGTGTCCAGAACTCAGCAGGGCTAGCTTCCCCGTCAGAGGACGCTGTTCCTGCCTGTCAGGGATTGGGGGCTGAGCAGAGACCGAGGGATGCAGCCGTGGTTCCTCCCTTTGCAGCTTGCTTCACACACAATCAGTTCTGTCCCATGAAAAGCGCTTTCTGCCGTAACCCAGGTTGATCAGCACATCCTCCTCTCTCCACGGAGCAGGCAGATTGGAAAGCTGATCCTAAAAATATGAAAACAGTCTTTCCACCCCACTGCAACTGCCTATTTATAATTCCAGCCGATCCCATCCCCTGGAGTATGTGTATATATATATATATATATATATATTTTTTTTTTTTGCTACTTTCTATATAAAGTAGAGGCATCTTTTGGCAGCACGGGCACCTAGGATGGCCAGGAGTGAAGCCCTCCACTGACGTTTCTCCTTCTTCTCCTTCCTTGTCCCTCCTCACTCCCATCCAAATTTCAGATTGCTTACTGGGAAGTATTTGATGGGACAGTCATCAGAGAGCTGGAAGGTTCCTTGTCCGGGTCAGTGAACGGGATGGATATCACACAAGAGGGACTGCATTTTGTCACAGGTTGGTCATCACAACAGGGAGCCCTTGCCGGGACTCTCTGAGATGGCAAACGTGGGACCTGCTGGGAGGAGAGAGCACCGGAAGAGAGGTCCAAGAAGCAAGAAGCATCTCAGAGGCAGCTTGCTCAGATTCAGACGTGAACATTGCTGCCAGCAAGGGTGGAAAATGCCAGAAGTCTCATTGCAGAGAGAGCAGGTGCTTCCCTGGGAGTCCAAGCGGGCACAATGGAAAGTTGAATCTGACCCTGCTAGGCTGTGTCTCAGCCAGGGGTGTACTGACTGGGTGGACCTCCAAATGCCTGAGCCACCCAACAAGCCTTCCTCTGGATCTTCCTTTTTGATGGAGATATCTTCTACTTGCTGGTTCGCTCCCCAGATGGCCACAAGGCTGGAACTGGGTCAGTCCGAAGCCAGGAGCCAGGAGCTTCTTCCACGTCTCTCCTGTGGCTATAGGGACTCAGCACTTGGGCCATTCCCATTGTTTTCCCAGGCCATTAGCAGGAAGCTGAATCAGAAAAGGAGCTTCCAGGACTCCAACTGGTGCTCACATGAGATGCCGGCACTGCAAATGGAGGCTTAATACCTTGGCACCTGCCCCACCTCTGGGTCCTTCCAACTGGAGTCTTTTTTTTTTTTTTAAGATTTATTTATTATTATTGGAAAGTCAGATTTACAGAGATGTGGAGAAAAAGATCTTTCATCTGCTGAGTCATTCTGCAAGTGGCCGCAACAGCCAGAGCTGACCCAATCTGAAGCCAGGAGCCAAGAGCCAGGAGCTTCTTCTGGGTCTCCCACATGGGTGCAGGGTCCCAAGACTTTGTTCCATCCTCGACTGCTTTCCCAGGCCACAAGCAGGGAGCTGGAAGGGAAGTGGAGCAGCTGGGATATGAACTGGTGCCTGTATGGGATCCTGATGCATGCAAGGCAAGGACTTTAGCCACTAGGCTACCGCCCTGGGCTCCCTACTGGAGTCTTGAATGCCAATCCCCTGGACCTACTTAAGCAGCATCATTTCCCACCATGCTCCTTGCTGACATTAATTAAGGAATGTTCTCAGTGATTCAAAGCAAGATATCAAGCTAGATAGAGTGAAATTCCCAATCACGTAATGTAGATAGAGTCGTCTACCCAGCTAGGCTTAGCAAAAGAAAGGTCACTAGAAAACCAAAATGGTCACTGTGGTTATTCTGGTGTGGTGGGATGAAGGGCGATTTTGTGTTTTGGTATTTTTGTTCCCACCCAAATCTACTACAGCAGACATAGATTCTAATGTCTATTTTTAATTTCTTTTCATCGAACTTGAAAGGCACAGCAAGTGAGACAGAGATCTTCTCTCTGCTGATTCACTCCCCAGATGGCCACAGCAACCAGGGCTGACGCCGGGAGCCTGGAGCTCCATCCACGTCTCCCCTGTTGGGTGCCAGGGGCCCACGCACTTGGGCCATCATCCACTGCCTCCCAGGTGCATTAGCGGGAGCTCGACTGGAAGCGGAGGAGGAACTGGGACCTGACCTGGCACCCCAACCTAGGATGCTGCTGGCATCCCGAGCAACTGGCTTGACCTGCTGCGCCCAAGTTGGAGCCCACAGATTTTTCCTAGTCAGATGATGGCATCACAGAAAGACAGACTCCCCCCACTCTCCCTCCAGTCCCCCAAGCTGGCATATAGCAGAGAATATGTGGAAAAGGAGCCAGTTATTTTGAAGTCAGGGCTGACAAACAAAGCTGTGTCTCCTGCCACCAGCCATGCCACTTTTTTTTTTTTTTCTTTTTCAGGAGGAAACGACCATCTGGTCAAAGTTTGGGACTACAACGAGGGTGAAGTGACTCATGTCGGGGTGGGACACAGTGGCAACATCACGCGCATCCGGATAAGTCCAGGCAACCAGTACATAGTGAGCGTCAGCGCGGATGGGGCCATCCTGCGGTGGAAGTACCCTTACCCCTCGTGAAGCCCCTGGGGCTGCCCAAGGCCGTGATTGCGTGTGTGTGTGTGTGTGTGTGTGTGCTGGGGGTTTGCTCACACCCATTTCTGTTTAGTCTGAACACTGTATCCCAAGTTTCTCTTCCCTTATAGAACCAATTTTACATTCTTCAATTGTACATTAAAATTGAAAATACATTTCAAGAATCACCAGTTTTTTTTTGTTTGTTTGTTTTTGATGTATGAATTATGGATCCATCCCTGCTTTCTGGTCCTCTCTTTTCAGAGTCTGTGCCAAACCCAGGCCCCGTCGTCCCTCCTGTTGGGGGTGGGGGGGTATGAGTTCTGTCCCCCTACACACAAGGCCAGGTGGAAAGGCTTTCACTAACTCTCAGGCGCGGTGGTTAAGCTACTACTTCAGAGCTCCATCCCTTCTCTGCCAGCCCAGCTTCCCACCGATGTTCATCTTGGGAGGCCCGTGGTCAAGGGCTTCGGTCCCCGCCACCCATGTGGGAGACTCCACCTGACCCCGGGTTCCAGGCTTGGCCTTGAGCGGGTATTTGGGGAGTGAACCAGCGGATGGATTCTCTCTCCTCCCCCACAACCCACATCTTTCAAGTAAAAACAACTCTCCTGACTCCCCCCCAGCCCCGCAACCCGGTTTTCTTACAGGAAAGGGTGTCAGAGAAAACTAAGTAGGAAGCAAACCCAAACAAAAACAACAAAAGAACAAAACCCAACAACTGCAATGTGTTCAAACCTGGGCAGAATTCCTGACATAAAGAAGAACAGGAAACATGAAGACTTTTGCAAAGGAAATATGTGTTGGGGATCTTGGGGCGATGAAATTCCAGATTTTTGTTCACTGGCCTTAGCTATGAAATCTCCATCTTGCACAACGCCCCCCCCCCCACCCGCCCATAAATCTCCAACCCTGTGTCTTTTCCCAGTGAAAGTATAAAAAAATGGCATTGTCAAAAAAGTGTTTCAGTGTCTAGTCTAGGGCCATCAGATGCTGTATTCTTCGATGCCTTCGCTAAGGTGAGCTGCTGTCCTATCAAAAGGCCAAGGATACTTCACACTGATTTTTTATTATTATTATTATTTTAAATAGCCAAGTAGCATTCCAGGGCGCTGATGAAATGCCGCATCCTGAGATCTCTCAGTGAGCTAGAATGGGTGAGAAAACTCATTTTGCAAGACCAGGGCCGGATTAATGATAAACCTGACAGTTACGGGAGAAAAGAAAAGCCCAGGCCCCCACGGTTACGCAGGGAATCCAGGGCGGGGCGAGACCGAGCTCTTCCTGATTGGGCAGCAACTCAGCCAGGGCGTTTGGTGTCTGGGAACCATCGGGAGACGCAGAGGGCGCACTTGCAAGTCGGGAAACTTCCTGGTGAGAGAACCCGGAGGTCGCACCGCGCCCGAGCCTGGCGTCCCCAGACCCGCCCGGCTCCAATTCCGTTTCCTCTCTACCTTTCCAGTCGGTCGGTCTCCCGTCACCTCGCCTTCGCCTCCCGGGAGCCCGCTTCTCCAGCGACTAAAAACGAGGAGGCAGCCGACCACCAGTGTGTGGAAAGCCACACTCACCTTGTCGCCCACCGGGGTTCTGGCACCGTGAGGGTGGGGCAGGGAGCTGTGTGCCACACGCGGCTCCCGGTTCAGGTGCAGGGATGAGGGGCACCTGGGCGAGAAGGCGGTGGCGCCGCCAGTCCGCGTGCACCTGAGCCAGCCCGGGGGAGCAGCGGCGCCCAGGAGCGCAAACCCACCCCGGCAGCTCCCCGGGCGCGCAGCTCCCGCGACCTCTCCGGAGCGCTCCGTTTTCACTTTCTTCCTGAAGTCCGCTGGCACAGATTTCCAAGACCCTAAGCCCTAGCCACGGCGTGGCCAGTTTTTGCTGGGGCGCTTTCAAAGGGCTCTTTCCTCTGATTTCCGCAGCTTGAGGGCTGGGCGGGGAATGCAAGCAGAGGTTAAAAATAGGTCTGCTGGTTCATCAGAGGTGAGGAAGGGTGGGGAAGGCGACCACGAAGCCACCCCCGCCGGGGCCTTTTATTCCCATCCGGAGCTGCGGGGGCAGGACAAAGCCGGCTAAAGCTGGCCGAGGTGCTGCCCCCCGGCGCCGGCCCCGAAGCCGGATTCCCGCGCGGGGCGGGGTGGGGCGGCCTCGCCTTTGGCTCCGCCTCTACCCGGTTCTCGCACACCTGGCTCGCAGGTAGCTGGAGCTGGTCACGGTTTCCGAGAATTTGAAGGGCCCACGAGCGGCTCGACTGCCTCGGGCCCGGGGGCTCCGCTCCGGTAGCCGGGTGGGCGGGAGCCATGGACCCGGGCCCGGGGGACGCGGTGGCAGAAGGTCCACCCGCCGCGCCTCGGCCCCGCCGCCGCCGCTCCCTGCGCCGCCTGTTCAGCCGCTTCCTGCTGGCACTGGGCAGCCGCTCCCGCTCCGGGGATTCACCGCCTCGGCCCCAGCCTCAGCCTCAGCCTCAATCCCAGCCGGGATACTGCGATGGCGATGGTGAGGGGGGCTTTGCCTGCGCCCCGGGAGCTCCGGCTTCAGGCGCTCCGGGGAGCCCCGGGGAGGAGCACCCGCCCGGCTCCCAGCCCCAGTTCGCCGGGGACGACGGGGCGCGGCCGCCGGGAGCGCAGGGCTTGAAGAACCACGGCAACACCTGTTTCATGAACGCTGTGGTGCAGTGTCTCAGCAACACGGACCTGCTGGCCGAGTTCCTGGCGCTGGGGCGCTACCGGGCGGCGCCGGGCAGCGCCGAGGTCACGGAGCAGCTGGCGGCGCTCGTGCGCGCGCTCTGGACGCGCGAGTACACGCCCCAACTTTCCGCCGAGTTCAAGGTAGGCGACGCGCGGCCTTACGGACTGGGCTTTCCTGGGGACGGGGTTGAGAGGAAAGGAGAAAAGGTGTGTGCGTGTTGAGCGGGGTGTCTATTTGTGCTGTAGCACTTCAGCCTTGTTTGGAGTCATTGGACGCTATCGTGTGTGTGTGCATGCGTGTGTGTGTGTTTTCTGTAGGAGATAATTCTTTTCCCGGTATGTTATGTTGAGGAAGGAATCGGGTACGGGAGAGCTGACAGGTGCAGCGTGTTGAGGTTTTTGTTGTTGGGAGGGAACGTGCAAGACTGTGCGGGCCCGGATTCCAGCTGCCTTCCTCCAGGGTGCAGGTTGGAAGGGGGCTTCGCAGGCCAAGGCCTCAGAGGCAAGGAGTGATGCTTGTCAAGGGATGAGGTCGTAAGGATGAGAAAAGGTCATTCGCCAGGCGGCCATCTGGGAATGCTTCAGGCAGAGGGAGCACCACGTGCCAGGGCCCTGGGCTGGAAGGCGCAGAGTCGTGGCTGCAGCAGGCGGGACCTTGGAGGTGACTGGAAAGGCATGGGGTGCAAGCCTTTGGACCAGGGCTGCTGCAGAGTGTCTCCCCCTCCCCCCGCCCCGGAAAGGCAAGGCGTGTGCAATTTTTTTGAGATGCACCTTTTTGTGGAATGCAAATTCAAGTCAGCCGTGTGTCAGCACTGGAATTTCCATCTTTGTCCCCAAGGTCCTCGTCTGCTTGCTGGGGGGAGGACACTTCGGGGCAGAGGGGACTTGGTATGTGGGGAGGCGCTGGTGGGCGGGGGGAGGAAGGGGAGTGTTGGCTTGAGGTCCCTGCTGGATTGCATAGTTTCCCATCCTCAATGCACCGGGCTGGCTTTTCCTGCCGTAACCACCACTCCAGCCGCAGCTCCCCACAGACCCGGGATTGTTGTGGGGGGAGGGGGAACCTGTCAGGGTTCATTCCACAGGCATCACCGTTCTTGAATTTCGGCCTGAGAAAGCAGCCTTTGCCGTGGGACCCGTGAGGATGCCAAACCCACCTTCCCGGGCCGCGCGGGGTTCTTGGCTTTTTTTTCCCCCACCCTAGCAGGAGGGGTGGTGTATGGTGAATAGGAACAAGGTGTTTGGAGCTTTGCGACTAAGATCCCGTGGTGCCTCGACTTGACTCCGGCTGTAAAATGGGCTCTTGGCAGCCTCTACCGTAGTCCCGAGTTGTTGTGGCTGGTGCAGGGGTCCTGTCTGTTGCGTCCTTTCGCCTCGGGATGGAGAGAATCGTCCTGTGGTCGGCTCTTGGTGGGTGCGTTCCTGGCCGGGTTAATGCAGCCATGGGAAAGGTCCAAGGAGTTTTGAAGAAAACTCCGAAATTACTCATCACCTCTGCGGCTCAATCTGGAATTTTAACCTCTTTCCCGCAGTTTAATTCCCAGGGCCCCAGGAGCTCACCGGGAGCCTAGCCATTGAAGGAGTCAGCTAGTTATTAATATGCAAATGAGGGAGATGGAGCCCGGGGTTTCCTGGGGCTGTGGAGTAGCTACCCTTGGGGGGAAGGGAGGATCGGAGGAGCTGACAACACCAGAATCTGGGCTTTTTAAAAAACAGTAAGGGGGATGGAGGGAAGGGCTCCATTCTGCTTCCAGTCCTTAAGCACGTAGGCGCCTACCATTCACGTGGGAAACCCAGGCTGGGAATCCTGGCTCTTGGCTTCAGCCTGGCCCAGCCCTGGTTGCTGTGGGCATGTTGGGAGGAGAGAACTAGTGGGTAGAGATCTCTGTCCATCTGTTTCTCTTTGTCTTTCTGCCTCTTGAATAATTGAAAATGTACAGCATGGTGCAGTGCAGATGGGAAGCTGGGTGCAATTCCTTCATTCAATGCGTGTCTGTCGGTGGGCAGAGACTTCTGGAAATGGGGTACCTGATGAGTGGTGGCCCCCAATCCAGATCCTGCCTGCCCATCATCGTTCTTTCAAAGTTAACTCATTGTTTCAAACAAAGTCAAATAGGTGGGAGGGAAGTCTAAACCCCCATACCCTCAGAAGTAACTATCATGGAAGTGTTGATGTGTTTCAATATATTTACAATATATTTACAATATATTTACAATTAGAAAGTCCATGGAGGTACACTGCTTTTCTGATTTTTAAAAATTTATTTTGTTTGAAAGTCAGAGTTAGAGAGAGACCTTCGTTCCATCTGCTGGCTCATTCTGCAGATGGTCAAAACAGCCAGGCTTGGGCCAGATGGAATGAAGCCAGGAGCCTGGAGCTTCATCTGGGTCTCCCATGTGGGTGGCAGGACCCCAAGCATTTGGGCCATTATCCACTGCTTCTCACGGTGCTCCTTAAAAGAAAGCTGGAATCTAGAGAGAAGTTGAAACTTGAAATGAGTTACTCTGGGGAGCAGTGCTGAGGTATAGTAGGCTAATCCTCTGTGTTGTCAGCATCCTATATGGGTGCTGGTTCTAGTCCTGTCTGCTCCACTTCCCCAATCCAGCTGCCTGCTTATGGCCTGGAAAAGCAGCAGAGCAGAATGGCTCAAGTCCTTGGGACCCTGCACCCATGTGGGAGACCTAAGAAGAAGCGTCTGGCTCCCAGCCTCTCATTGGTTCATCTCCAGCTGTTGTGGCCATTTGGGGAGCGAACCAGTGGATAGAAAATCAGTCTATTTCCTTCTACGTGTAACAGATAAATAAATACACTTAAAAAAACAAAAAAGGGCTCGGCAGCGTGGTCTAGTGGCTGAAGTCCTCGCCTTGAACATGCCCGGGATCCCATATGGGCGCCGGTTCTAGTCCCAGCAGCTCCGCTTCCCATCCAGCTCCCTGCTTGTGGCCTTGGAAAGCAGTCGAGGATGGCCCAAAGCCTTGGGACCCTTCACCCGCATGGGAGACCTGAAAGAAGCTCCTGGGTCCTGGCTTCAGATTGGCTCAGCTCCAGCCGTTGCGGTTACTTGGGGAGTGAATCATCGGACGGAAGATCTTCCTCTCTGTATATCTGACTTTCCAATAAATAAATAAATCTTTAAAAAAAAAAAAGTAGGTACTCTGTATCGGATGCAGGAATCCTGAGTGACATTTTAGCCTCTAGACCCAGTGTCCACCACTTTATACTTTTTACATCAGCCTTACTGGGCTTAATTTGTTTGTGTGCCCATATTGATACATTTCTTTCCCAAAGCCTATGCCAAGTTTCCAGTGTGTCTCCTTGAAACACATTTTCCCCAGCTTTAGTTGGATTATAATTGAGAAATTAAGATTGTACATATTTACAGCATATAGCATGATATTTTGATATCTGTATGTGCTGTGAAAGGATTAATCCAGGCTCATTAGCATGTCTGTCATCTCACAGTTTCTGGTGGTGAGAACAGTGAGGGACTCTGAGCAGCTGTCAGGTGCAGCGCGTCAACCCTGGCTATAGTCACCAGGCTGTGTAGCGGCTCTCGCCCCTCAGCTCCGAGCACCGAGAAACGTGATCCTGTGGTTATATTTAGATTTACTCTTTGAACGAGGGGACAGATCTCTCTGTTTCTAAGTCTGTCTTAGAGCTGTCAGGCTTTTTTTTTATTTTATTTTTAAGAGATACTTATTTTTTTTCTTTTTTTTTTTTTTTTAAAGATTTATTTTTATTATTTTTTCATTGGAAAGGCGGATATACAGAGAGGAGAGACAGAGAGGAAGATCTTCCGTCCGATGATTCACTCCCCAAGTGAGCGCAACGGGCCGATGCTATGCCGATCCGAAGCCAGGAGCCTCTTCCGGGTCTCCCACGCGGGTGCAGGGTCCCAAAGCTTTGGGCTGTCCTCGACTGCTTTCCCAGGCCACAAGCAGGGAGCTGGAAGGGAAGCGGGGCTGCCGGGATTAGAACCGGCGCCCATATGGGATCCCGGGCGTGCAATGCGAGGACCTTTAACCACTTGCGCCACCGCGCCGGGCCCGATACTTATTTTTTTTCATTGGAAAGTCAGATACACAGAGAGGAGGATCTTCTGTCTGCTGATTCACACCCCAAGTGGCCCAATGGCTAGAGCTGAGCTGATCCAAAGCCAGAAGCCTCCTTTGGGTCTCCCACGTGGGTGCAGGGTCCCAAGGCTTTGGGCCATACTCAGCTGCTTTCCCAGGCCACAGGCAGGGAGCTGGATGGGAAGCAGGGGTGGCCGGGATTAGAACCTGCATCCATATGGGATCCCGGGCGCGTTCAGGGTGAGGACTCTAGCCGCTAGGCTACCCGGGCCTGTGCTAGCAGTTCTTATCACTGGTGTTTCCATTCTGTTTTTTTCTTGTTCTTTTTCGTTTGCGTCTAGAAATTCCTTAACCTTTGTGGCATTCGTCATCTCTACCGCAATCCTGGAAGTTTTCAGTTGACTTATAGTGTAGTCTCCTGTCTCTCTTCTCTCTTTCTTTTTGGACATTTATTTGAAGAAGGCAGAGTGATAGAGGTCTTCCATCTGCCGGTTCACTCTCCAAATGGCCTTGGGGTTAGGGCTGGGCCAGGTCAAGGTTCTGAAACTCCATCAGGTCTCTCACACGGGTGGCAGGGTGCCCCAGAGACTTGGACCATCTTCCACTGCTTTCGCAAGTGTAAGGTGCTGGATAGGAGCAGCGGCAACTTTGCTTCAGTATGAGATGCCAGCTTTGGTGGTGGCTTAACCCACAGTGCCCTAACATCAGTGCCATTCTCCTATTTTTTTTTAAGACCAAAAGAACAGATTTAAAAAAAAATTGTTTTGAAACATTGTTTGTATAGATGAGAGGAGTTACATACCCATGTGAGTCTCTGATTAGAGTGGGGAGTGTTGAGGTAGGGAGAAAGGTGGGTGGGACACCCCGGGGAAGAGGGGATGGTCATTTGATAACATCTTAGTGTGGGGAAGGGCAGAACGGTTCTTTCTGTTTTTTTTTTTTTTTCAAGGATTACTTATTTATTCTTGAAAGAACATCAGGAAGAGAGATCTGCCATCTGTTCTTTAAATGACCACAGCAGCCAGGTCTGAATCAGGCAGAAGCCAGGAGCCAGGATCTCTAATCAGGGCTCCCGTGTGGGTGTCAGGGACCCAGGTGCTGGGGCCGCAGCTGGCTGCTATTCCCCAGTGCACTGCAGAAAGAGGAGCAGGAGGACTTTGGGCCTCTGATATGGGATGCTGGCGTTGCACATGGCGACTTAAGATGCTGTGTCACAGCGCAGACCCTGGATAACCTCCCTGTTGGTAAATATTCTATTTTTCTTACTTCTGAGCTTTCTGTGGTTGTATGAAGATATCTATCTGGAATTTAGTTTATGTACTTAAGAATTAATTTCAGTTCTATTATGATGTCTCGTACTGAGGTACTCGGAGATACTGTTTTTTATTTATTTATTTTTTTTATTGTATAAAATTTATTTTATCTAAAAGGCAGAGGCACAAAGATAAATAGGGAGATCTTTAATTCCAAGGCAAATTCACCCAAATTCCTGCAGCATCCAGAGCTGGACCAGGCTGAAGGCAGGAGTCAGAAACTCCAGCTAGGTCCTCCACCTTTGTGGCAGGGACTCCAGTATGTGAGAGGCCCTACCTTTTGAAAACAAGGAAACCTTGTCTTTCCTATGTTGTAAAAGTCCCAAGACATGGAATAAACCGCATCAAACAGAAACCCGTGTTCTAGAATCCCACGTTTTAGGACTCTGGCTGTCACACCTGAGGTCAGGTACAAGCCAGCCAGCCAGCCAGCCAGCCAGCCAAAGGCAATATAACCATAAAGAGCACAGCGGAGTGGGTGTGAGCTTTGTGGCTCAGCGAGTCCATCTGCAGCTTGCCTTGGCTGGCATTCTGGTCAGGAGTGCCAGTTCCTATCCCAGCTACTCTACTATGGATCCAGCTTCCTGCTGATATATCTGAGGAGAGCAATGGATGATGGGTGGCCCAGCTGCTTGGTCCCCTGCCACCCATCTGGGAAACTGAGATGGAGTGTTTGGCTCATGGCTTCCATCTCCCCCAGGCCTGGCTGTTGTGGCACTTAGAAAGTGAGCCATTCATAAAAACGACCAGACAGCTAGGAATAATTGAAAAAGAAAATATATTAGAAAGTATCAATGTTTGGGAGAGAAAACACACACATAACACAAACACTCAGGGTAGGAATACCAAATGTTGCTTATTATCTTTCCCAAGCTAGAATTTCGTTTTCATGCAGTTCCAAGTCACATTTTAATAGACTTCCTATGGAAATGGCTCCCATGGAAATCATGGATTTAATTATTTCCAAAAAAAAAGTATTCAGAACATTGCTGCCAGATATTTTATAATTGGATATAGACCAATAACAATTCATTAGATTAGAGCCAGATTTGAGAAGATATTGGGACAGATAAGGTATGGGTGGCAGCTAATATTTCTACTCTGTAAGGTGTTATGGATGTGGGGAGGGGAAGAATAAGGAAGGATTTTTATTGTCCGGTGTGGCAGCAGCAATCATCTGGTTTCCCATGAGTCCAGTGGGCTGGCACGGAGGGTACTCAGAACTGGGCCCCCCTTAGGTGGGTGCAGTGTCTTGGAGTTGTACTACTGGGGAAGGACCAAGCCCTTTAGGAAGCCAAAGCCCAAACTGTGTGACCGCTGAGGGCCTGAACGTTATACCTGCATAAGAGGGAGAATGAGTCTTAGAGCTTCTGAGATGGGGGTGCCTGCTGTCCATACGGAAGACTACTGGGAGGAAGGTTTGACGGATGACTGTGGGTAGGGATGCCAGACAAAATACCCGGCACCTGGTTGATTTGAGTTGCAGATAGACACTCTTTAGCACAAATATATCTCCCAAATTGCATGGGATGTGTTTCAATGAACAATTTATTTGTTGTTTATATAGTACTCAGATTTAACTGGGCATCTTCTATTTTTTTTTTTTTTCAATTCTGTCAGCCCAGGCTTGGGGGAGTTGAAGTACAGGGAAGTCCTGAGGGAAGAATTTAAATGATGTGGTTGGAATCAAGAAGCAGAAGCAGGCTTGCAATGAGTTAGGTGTGAAGTGTGCTTCACATACATTTCTAGAATTTCTTTGAATCTCAAGGAAAGATGAAAAAGAAAGAAGAAAGAAGACAGTCCCAGGTGCTGGTTTTGACCGGCAGTGGTGAGGACTGTCCCGGTCACCGTCTTGCTTAGACTGGTCCCCGTGGCAGGTGCCAGCTGAGGATGTGCCAGTGGAGGAGGCACCTGCATGGGATGCAGCTGGAGCTTGGCTGTGCAGTCTGCGAGTGGCACAGACGACCACATCGTGCTGCATGCACACCCAGAGAGCGTAGTCTGCTTATGTTTGGATGCTCACATGCCTGCCCTTGTGTAGCAAGGTGCCTTGGAAAGATCCTCAAACAACTGTTGAGACTGCTTGCAGTGGGGAGGACCCTGGGCCTGGAGGGTGTTTTAGGCACACACAGAGAGATCATCTGTTTACAAGTTCATTCTCCAAATGGCTGCAGTGGCCAGGACTGGACCCGCCCAGAGCCAGGAGCTCCATCCAGGACCTCCACACATACTTGCATCATCTTCTGCTGCTTAATCAGGGAGCTGAATCAGCAGCAAAGCAGCTCTGAAATGGGCTGTCATGCCAGGTGTTGGAAGCAGCAGTAAACTCCCTGCAAGGGCACCAACCCCTGCAACAAACTTTCCAAAGGCTGAGATAGGTTTTATACAGTGACACAATTATTACACAGTTTTAAATATTTTTAAAATTTACAGTTGAGGAGCACTCAAGTTGAGGAGCAGTTGAGGAGGACTCAAAGCCGCGGGACCCTACACCCACGTGGGAGACCTGGAAGAAGCTCCAGGCTCCTGACTTTGGATTGGCTTAGCTCCGGCCGTAGTGGCCATGTGGGGAGTGAATCATCAGTTGGAAGATCTTCTTCTCTGTCTCTCCTCTCTGTATATCTGATTTTCCAATGAAAATAAAATACATCTTTGAAAAAAGGAAAAAAAAGTTGCAGAAAGGGAAATGGTGGGGCCGGGACAGGGGAGGGGATTATGTGGAGAGAAATCCATCTTCGATCAGCTGGTTCATTACCCAGATGCCCACAATGGCCAGGGTTAGGCTGGGCCAAAGCCAGGAACTGGGAGCTGCTGCTTCCAGGTCCCTTACATGGATGCAGCAGCTCAGACACTTGGAGAGAATCCTCCATTGCTTTTCCTCAGGCACATTAGCAGGGAGTTGGATCCATAGTGGAGCAGCTGGGACTCTAACCCAATGCCCGTTTGGGATACCAGAACTGCAGGTGGCAGCTTTCCATGCTATGTCAAATGGCCTGACCCTCCTTGTGTTTAAAAAAAGTCAATTTCACAGTCAGCTAAAAAAAAAGAGTGAGTTGGAGCTCTGTGTGGGAGTAAGGAGGCTTAGAAGACTGTTCCTCTGTGGGATGACAGAGTGAGAGAGAGACAATTAGGAATAAGCTAGTGGAGCCCAGACCAGTGGAGCATGGTACCCCAGGCAGCAGGCAGAGGTCAGACACTCCAGGGAGGCCAGATGGTCAGAGGGATCCAAAATCCACCACGCACACAGTCCGTCTTGGATCAAGAATCCGCCATCAGTCAGTGTCTGAGACTGACTTCAGTGGCAGACTGCACCCCTTGCTGCTTGGTGGTGTTGTCATCTTGGGTGGAGGCCCACAGAGACCGAGGGGCAGCCTGGGAGGTGACAGCACTGAGCTGACCCCTGTCTTCCTTCCAGAACGCTGTTTCCAAGTATGGCTCGCAGTTCCAAGGCAACTCCCAACATGACGCCCTGGAGTTCCTGCTCTGGCTGCTGGACCGCGTGCATGAGGACCTGGAGGGCTCGTCCCGAAGAGCTGCCTCCCAGAAGGTGGGTCACCCCGGAAAGCACACGTTTGTGCCCGACACTGTAGGTTCTGATTGCTGTCCCCTGCCCTCGTCTCCTGCTGTGTTTGCTTTAGATAAGGCGTTTCCTCAAGTCTGGTGTCCTGGGATACAATAGGAGGGCTTCCTGGGAGTGTGAAATTTGGGGAAAATTTTTTTGAATCTACGTTCCGTGCATTAGTGTGGTCGTCTGGGGCCACGGGCGCTTGTTTCTTGTTATTTTCAGACAGTGCTATTGCAACACCTCTCTTGCTTTCTCTCATGTATATCTCACAGGGTAGCAATTCTTCATCTCTTTTTTTATTTTTCTCAAGAGGGTGTATGTATGAGCTTTCCAGGTCTTTATAAAATTTATGTGGAGGTGGGAAGAGAGTGAGAGAGCGCTTGTGTGACGGTGTGTTTCCATCCGCTGGTTCACTTCTCCCTGTCTGCAGTGGCCTGGACTAGACTGGGGAAACACCTTATTTTCTGTGCATGCCATGGTCAATGTGAATACAGCTATGAGAGTGTTTTTTATGAGAGCGGGTTTTTGCAACTTTTACTTTAAGTTTGGACACTTTAGCCCCGCTAAAAATATTGTAGAAAATGTTTGGGTTTCCAAAGCGGCACCTTCCTGTCCCTTTATTATTTGCTGGAGCCTATCATTCTACCATAACAACAGCCCGAGAAGTGAAGCCTTTTTTCCCCGTTTTAAACTTTGTCCATGAAGTCAGCTGTTATCCTGTTGTTTCATCCTGTGTATTTGTTTGAAAGGGAGAGTGATGAGGGAGAAAGGGCGAGATCATCCATCTACAGCTTCACTCTCTAAATGACAACAGGTGGGCTGGACCAGGCCACAGCCAGGAGCCAGGCCTGTCATTGGGTCTCCCACACAGGTACGTGGGCCTGTGTACCTGGGCCGTTGTTTGCTGCTGCCCCAGGCACTTTTGCAGGGAACTGGGTTGGAGGTGGAGTAGCTGCAGCTCAGACCACATGGGCTGCTGGTATCTGCAGGTACTGGCCGAACCCTCCAGTCTGCAGTGTCAGCCCCAGGCTGCTCCATTTCTGAGGCAGCAGTAGGTGATAGTGCAAATACTTGGGCCCTTGGCACTCACGTCAGAGACCAAAAGGAAGTTCCAGGCTCCTGGCTTCAGCCTACTTCCACCCTGGCCATTGTGTCCATTTGGGAAATGAGCTAAAATGCCTCTCTTAAAAATTTAAAAAAAAAAAAAATTTTTTTTTTTCAGCCCTGCAGCTTATCTAGAGAAGTTGAGTGACCATGGAATCGTGGCTAGAAAGTTTGTTTTCTTATTTTAGAAAGTTCCCTCCTACTCCAGTGACTCCCAGTGAAGCCATACAAAACCTGGAAGGCTTGTACACTGTGCCTTGTTTATGCTGCTTTGTCTGGGTTGTAAGGTTCCTCCTTTATGAATGGCGATCTTCCATTGCAGATTCAGACCCTTTCAGCTGTAAGTATGCCATGTTTGAGCACAGTTAGTCCTGTGCAAAGTCCGTGCTGAGACCTGATTGTCGCCGATGCAAGGCATTCAGAGGTGCTGGGATCTTGAGGAGGCGATGGGTCTGGGGGTGCCACCCTGGTGAATGGAGGAATGCAGTCCTTGCTGTGTGTGTTAATTGTCCCGGAAGGAGTCTAGCCCGCTTTTGTCTGGCACATACTTCTCCATTCGCACCACAATACCTTGTGGTATGACGTCCTCACCCAGTGCCAGTGCCAAGCTGTTGGTTGTCCCAGCCTCCAGAATGGTGGGAAAAGAAACTTCTTTCCTTTGTAAATCGTCCCAATCTGCAATATCCTGTTACCACAGCAGAAAGGGGACCACAACCATGTCTGAAGTTTAACTCAATCCGATTTAAGGCAGCCACATTTATGGACTTTTTATGAGCCTCAAGTCCAAGGGTTGGACCGACTTCTTGTCGAGCTGGATCTAAGGACTGGGGCTGTGCTGGCAGGTCTTGGACTCTTGACTTCACCTCTTGTTCCTGAGACTGGCTCTGCCCACGTGGCAGCCAGAGGGCCTTCTGCCATACCCAAACGACCTGTCGAGCTTGGGATTCCAGAAGAAGCACAGGGAAGGGTGATCATCCATTGCTGGGTATGTGGTCAGAAGAATAGGCTGTTCTCATTGGGCACATCTGAGTCACCTGCATGTGGGTGTGAATAGGGACCAATGGGAACTTCTATAGGACCAGAGCTGGTTGGCTGCTCCCCCAGAGAAAGGAATGCTGAGTGGGTGGCTTGGTGGACAGATGGATGGATGTGTGGATGAATGGATGGATGTTTAGACTTGGATCCCTATTTCCAGGACATCACATTATTTGGATGCAAATATGTCTAAACCCGAAACATGCTTGTGGCCCCAAGCATTTTGGATGAGGGCTCTGGAGGTTCCAGCATGATCTCTTTACTACAATTAGGGAACTGCAGCGGAGAGAGCGAGTCCTCATTCAGCTGGATCCGACAGCCAGGTGCCAGCCAGGCTGGGGTTTGAACCCCGATGGTCCAACTGCCCAGGCTAGGTATGTGAACAGGTGCTAGGCTCTTGGCTGAGCTCAACCCTCTTCCAACATGGCACCGGACTCTCTCTCCAGCCTTGTTGTCTGTCTTCCTTCACTCGTTGGAACAAAGACGATTCCTTCTTTGTCCCAGAATTCAATTTCAAGCTTAGGGAAACAGCAGGTTCATTTTATGGTGGACTCTCATACCCACCCACCTGGATTCTCCAATTCACATTTTACTGAAATTTGCATTATCATGTATTTGCCCATCTGTTCATCTCTCTGGCCACCCATTGCTATTTTTTTTTTTTTAAATGTACTTGGAAGTAAATTGCACACCTGCTGTGATTTTACTCCAGACACTTTTCAGGCATTCCTTTTGCCTGCTTTCAGCCTCTGCTTTCTACAATCCTTCAGCACGGATCTCAAAGCCCACTCAGGTCCTCTCTATATACCTTGTGGCATGTCTGTCCCTCTAAGCAGAGGTGGGGAGCATTCAGCCCCTTGGACATACAAGACCCATGAAATCACGTGGTCTGGCACCACCAAGGCAAATGCGGGTGGGACTCAAAATTCAACCGGATCTGCAGCAGGCTCATGTTTATGACCCGTGAGTGATGTGATAAATACCAAAGGACCCTTGGTGGGATGAGGGGTCGACCGCACCCCTGCAGGTTATTATTCCCTATGGGTTAAGTTCACCTGAGTGCCAATGCTCCAGTTCCTGGAGGACGAGATATTTCATTCCGTATATAAGCACACATGCAGTGTAGCTGTAGTGTTTCATGGTGTTTCATGGTGTGTGTGTGTGTGGTGGGGGGTGGGAATGATTCGTGGAGAAAATGTCTAAAAAGATTCCACCTCAGGAGTGATAATGAAAGTCAAGAAATTAGGGCATGTTCTATGGGAATAAATAGGGAAGTTTATGTTTTACTGAATAGCTTTGTATTCCGAGTGACTTTGATCTTGGGGTTGCCTTTAGGGGTGGGCAGGAGCCTCAGACAATGATACCACTGTCTCGTAAGATGCCAGGCCTCTAGGGGCCACATAGTGAGCTAAACCACTGCTTGCGACCCTGGCATCCCATAATGGAGTACTTTTTTGATCACCGGCTTCCCCGCTTGTGGTCCAATTCCCAGCTCATGCTTGGGAAGGCAGTGGAGGAAGACCCCAGTGCTTGAGCCCCTGTGACCCACGTAGGAGACTCATATGGGGCTCTGGGCTTCTGGCTTCAGTTCTGATGAGCCTTAGCTGTTGCAGGCATTTGGAGAGTAAGCCAGATGGTGGAAGATTGATCTTTCTCTCCACCTCCATCTTTCTGTCACTCACTCTGCCTTTTATTTGAAAAGTAGATTTAGAGAGACAGAAAGTTGTTCCATCTGCTGGTTTGCTCCCCAAACAACCGTAATGACTGGAACAGCTGATCAGAAGCCAGGAGCCTCTTCTGGGTCTCTCAAGTAGACACAAGTAGACACAGGTTCTCAAGGTCTTGGGTCATCCTTCACTGCTTTTGCAAGGAGCTCATTTGGAAGTGGAGCAACCAAGATGTGAACTGACACTCATGTAGGATTAGCCTGTTGAGCCATGGTCTCTACATCAGAGGTTCTTACCTGGTTAAGATTGTGTGTGTGCAAGTGGGAAGGGCTTGAGATGAGGTCATTCACCTGCATGATTCCCGTGGGCTCTCTGTGCAATGGCAAGAATTTTTACAAGCAAGACATGGAGGAGGTAGCGAGATGTGAAGACAGAGCAGAGAGAGATCTGAAGATGCCAGTCTCGAACACTAGGGTGGTATGGCTGCAAGCCAAGGAGTTGCAGATGCCTCTAGAAGTCAGGAGGGGCAACGAATAGCTTCTCCCTTAGAGTTGGGGCAGGGAGGACGGCCGCCCTGATGCCTGGATTTCAGCCCAGTGACAGACCCTTTGCAGGTTTGGTTGTGAGATCCGGGGAAGATTGCCTTGCTGTTATTTGATGTTTCCGGTTCATGATAATTTGCAATATTGACCACAGGAAACTAATGCACCAGGGAATGTAAAAAATAAAAACAAAACAAAAAAACAAAAGCCACAGCTGCACCAATACAGGCAGTAAAGGCAGCTTATATATCACATTCTGGATAGTAAAGTCTGGTTTGTCTATAAAAGACTGAATTTGGGGCCAGTGTGGTGGCTCAACAGGCTAATCTTATGCTTTATAGTGCTGGCATCCCATATAGGCATTGGTTCTAGTCCCAGCTGTTCTACTTCCCATCCAGCTCCCTGTTTATGGCCTGGGAAAGCAGTGGAGGATGGCTAAAGTGTTTGGGGTGCTGCACCCATGTGGGAGACCTGGAAGAAGCTCCTGGCTCTTAGCTTTGGATTAGCTCAGCTCTGGCTATTGTGGCCATTTAGGGAGTGAACCAGTGGCTGGAAGACCTCTTTCTCCATCTCTCCTTCTCTGTAAAAATCTGCCTTCAAAAAAGATGGTGTATTTGTGCCGAGTAGCCACTAGGATCCGTGAAGTGGGATAATAGATGGAAGGGAGAGAGATTTGATGAGGAGTAAGTTGAAGGCCACCGATGCCCACTCAGGTGAAATGTCCAAGAGGCAAAAAAAATGGTTGCCAAGGCCCAGCTGGGTAGAGATGCACACGAGGGCCCAACCATTCTGGGGGCGAGGAGGATTGAAAGCGTGCCGAGGCACAAACGGGCTGCTGAGGCCCGGAGGAAGCAGTCGGGTGATTGGCAAAGAAAGAGAATGGGGACTCACCTGTTCCCTTTGCTCATTTTCTTGCAGCTGCCTCCTCAAGCCAGCAAACCCTCTGAGAACCTCCTGGCGTCATCCCCCCAGCTTCCTCCAGGCCAGAGCTTTGTGCAAAGCCACTTCCAAGCCCAGTACAGGTAAGACGGGAAGCCTCAAGGCTCTTGCTGCCCACTGCCCGTCTCCCGGGGTACCTGCGGTCATGGAACAACTCCAGTCATACACGCCCTGCTCTCTTCCACTTGTGGTCTTCATCCTAGTCTTTTTATTTCCCTGACAACTGGACATTACAGCCTGGGTAACATGATAAAGCAACGCGGTTTTATTTTGGCCGATGATTCGGGAGGTTTTATGTCAAGGGCTGCTTAGGTAATGGCCTTTATTTATTTATTTTTTTATTTTGATTTGAGAAGCAGGGTTACAGAGAGATGACGTTTTGCAGCCTTTCATTCGCTGGTTCACTCCCCAAGTGGCTGCCATGGCTGGAGCTGAGCCATTCCAAAGCCAGGAGCCAGGAACTTCTTCTAAGTCTCCCACATGGGTGCAGGGGCCCAAGGACCAGCTGCCATCCTCTGCTGCTTTTCCATGCCATAGGCAGGGAGCTGGATGGGAAGTGGAGCAGCCTTGACATGGACCGGTTTCTGTATGGATGCCAATGCCATGGGTGGAAGCTTAGCCTGCCACCAGCCCCCTGATGATGACTTTCTTGTTGGCAATGTCCCCAGAAGGCGAAAGGCATTGCATGGCAAGAGGCACTGTGCGTCTGTGTGTGTATGTTCTTGTCATTTCCCCTTTTTACTAAAGCCACAATGACTCAGTCATGGAGCCTCCCCCTAGTCACCTTGTCTCATTCAGGTCACCTCCCAGAGACTCCCATCTCCAAACACTACAGTCGGATTGCTTCCATCCTTAGGGGTCTGCTTTGTGGCATAGTTGCCATCTGTCACACTGGCCCTCTCTAATGGACTCACCTTGTGAGAGGCAGGATCAGGCTGTGTCCTCCAGCAGGTCTCCGAAGCATAGCACCTGCCTTGGCTTTCTTTTTTTCTTAAAAGAATCTTTATGGGACCAGTGCTGCAGCTCAGGGGTTGTGGGTTGGACTCTGGCATCCCATAAAGGCACCGATTCGTGTCCTGGCTGCTCAAGTTTCTGTTCTGGCTCTCAGTTGATGCCCCGGGAAGGGTAACAGAGGATGGCCCACGTGCGTTGACCCCTGGACCTGTGTGAGAGACCTGGATGAGCCTCCTGGCTCCTGGCTTTGACCTGGCTCCATCTCAGCTGTTGGGGCCACTTGAGAGAGAAACCATCATCAGAGAGATCTCTCCCTCTCTCTTTCTAGGTGCGTAACTCTGAGTTTCAAATAAATAAATAAATCTTAAAAAGAATCTTTGTATCGAAGGAAGGCACGGCAGTTTTTCTTCTTCACAGTTTTGTTGAAGTCCATTCTTATCTATGATAAATCAGCCATCAAATGTTTTTTAAAAAAATTATTCGGTGTTTACAAGGTGTTTTTTTTTTTTAATTTTATTTATTTGAAAGTGGAGAGACAGAAAGAGAGGGAGAGGCAGAGAGAGAGATGCTCCATCTGCTGGTTCACTCCCCACATGGCTGCAACGGTCAGCACTGAGCAAGCAGGCAGCTGGATTGGGAATGGAGCATCCTGGATCCCACACCATCGCCCTTGCGGGATGCTGGCATTGCACGCAACACTGAACCCACTGTACCACAACACTGACCCTACAAAGTGACATCTTCCATCCCCTGCTTCATTCCCCACATGACTTGGGACAGCCAGAGCTGGACCAGGACCAAAACCAGGAACCTGGAGTTTTCCTCCAAGTCTCCCACTTGGTAGCAAGGACGTGGGTACCCCAGCCATCTTCTGCCACCTCACAGGTGCATTAACGAGGAGCTGGATCAGAAACGGGCTAGCCAGGACTCCCAGCCAGGCTCTCCCGTATGGGATGCGTGTGTTCCACGTGGAGCCTTTGCTTTCTCCCCGCGTCTTCCTCTCTCGGCGCTTTTCCGTCTCACGTAGCCCCGTTCATTGTGATTCTCTGCTGCGACTTTGGTTGCCCCGCCGAAGACCTGCTCTCTTGTTCTCTATTATTTCCTCCCAGAAAGAATTCTGAAAGCCTTTCCCCTTGATGGCCACATTAAAGTCGTTGCCAAGCTGTGCTTTTCTGCGAAGCTGCGGGCTCTTAACTCCCTTTCCTTGACCCGACAGCGCCTTCATGGGTCCCCTGGTGGCCTTCTTGTCTGATTTCTCTTCGTTCCAACGAAGTAATGAGCCTTCACTCTTCTGGAGCTCCCTTAATTACAGCCATGGATTGCCATCCGTTTTGGGAGGTTTCTATATATTTTTTGTATGTGTGTGTATAATTTCCTGGAAGCTGTCCTGATTTAGGATTTATACCCTATTCAGTCGTCGCCGATAAGATAGATAGGTCACGGTCAGTGTCTTTGAGGCTGGTGGTAGAGGGCGCCTTTGGAAGAATGCCAACACTGCTTTCCACTGGAACAGCGGAACTGCTAGCGATGGAGAGAAAAAAAGAAAAAATCCATGGTACTTCATACTTCCTGTTCCACCAGGGAAACGGGTCTTGAGACAATAGCCAGCTTGGCCACAGCATGCCCCGGTGGCACCCTTCACTGCTGTGAATGCTGCGTGATGCCATGCCTGTTCTTGTGCCCGGTGAAGGGCAGTTTTGCGGAGGCTGCTAGCCATGAAAGTCACGTGTAGGATACCCGTCTTAGCATCTGTTCCCCAAAGCAGAGGCTGCAGGAAGCAGGAAAGGACGAGAGGAAGGAAGCAGGAGGCCCAGGGGAGGGAGCACTTCGTGGGGGCCAGGCCCCTAAAACTGACCTTTTTCTTTCCTCCCTTGGTGGTGGTGGTTTTAATCCACTCCTTTCCTGGCCACATACACTGTGTTCTTGGTCTGCTTTCAAATAGTCCAGTGGCTGCCCATGATGCTTGCTCCTGTGGTTACCACAAGGACCCTAAACCCTTGCTCAGGAGAGCGAAATGCAAGTTAAGTTGTTTCTTGGTGTCTGAGGGAGCTTGGGTCTGGGACTCCGCTCAGACACTCAAATCCATGGATGCTCAAGTCCCTTATGGAATGTGGTATTTGCCTGTAACACGCGCACACACACACACACACACACACACACACACACACACACACGTCTCTAGATAACTCGCAATACCTACTACAGCGGAAGTGCTATGGAACTAGTTCTTACCTTTTCTCCAGTTGTGTGGTGAATAATGACAGGAGGAAGTGGATTGTGTTCAGGACAGGCTCCTACTTTATGGGACGTTGGGGGGGAATTTGATCTCCATCAGGTTCAATAGGTAGACACGGGGTTGGCTGTCGGGAGGGCCGGCTGTACTGACGTGTGCTCTACATAATGTCCTTCGTGCCCTGCTACCTTCTCTTCTGGGCGTTCAGCCCCCGGCCCCTGTCTCACTGGAGCGCCCATGCTGCTAGGAGGCACGGATGGCAAGCGGACGGACACCTGTGCCACCAGAGCTTCTCTACCTCGCCAATAAATACATTTAATGAAAGAAATCCACTGATCACCTCCTGATACCTTGTATGCCCTCTGACACTTAGCATCCAAGTGGGCGGCTTGGTAGTGGGCAGGTGCGTTAGCCTCCCCTTGGGTAGCACCCCGAGATCTTGTGCCTGCTTGTACCCCAGCTTTCCTGTTTGGTCTGCACAGTGGCACTTTCCACGGGACTCGGGAAACCTTTGGTTCTGATCCCAGAGCTGACGTCTCAGATTGACTCGCAATGGCTTGTAGCAAGAGCCCAGAGCCCAGAGCCCAGAGCCCAAGCCAGGCTACTCGGTGATGTTCTGTGTCACCAAGAAGTACAACAGATTTGAGGATAAGTAACACAGCGTGCAGAAACCCCGATGCACCATGCAATGAAGGAAACGAAATTGGAGCACCTGCTTGGAATGCTGGAGTTGCGGCCGTTGGCGGCAGAGAATGAGAAGATGGACGATCCCGTCTCTGTCTTCCCCACTTCCTTCTCTACCCTCACCCCGGCCATAAAACTGACTTTCAAGTAAATAAATCTTAAAAAAGAAATGAAACAGAACAAAGAAAGAACTAGAGCAGATACTAAAACCCAACCGCTGGGATATGGAATGTGGGCATTGCAGATCGTGGGCTGCACTGCTCCAACCAAGCACACGGCCCGGGCTGCCTTCCCCTTATTGCAAGCTCTGCTCTACCATGTGCTGTTTGCCCAGTGGTCTGCAGCTGGACTGCTGGTGGGCTGCCACCATGGGTATCAGCAGGTTGGGCTGGCACCTGTTGGAGCGAACTCCTGCCTCCGCTCCGTCAGGTCCGTGCCGAGCAGTGGACACGTGCGTGACTGTTCTGTGTCGATCCTCCTGCGGTACTGTTCCAGTGCCCATGCTTGATGACATCCTGCCTCTGTTGCCCCTACCCCACAGGTCTTCCTTGACTTGTCCACACTGCCAGAAACAGAGCAACACGTTCGATCCGTTCCTGTGCGTGTCCCTGCCCATCCCCCTGCGTCAGACGAGGTACGTCCCCCAGCCTCGCTTGCACCTGCCACTGTGCCTCCTTTGCTGAGTCAGCACTTCTCCGACCACTGCCAGCCTTGCTGGGTAAGGGGCAGGGACATGAGGGTCACCGTGGAAGGTCGCAGTGGGCTTGCTCCAGCTGAGAAAGCTGCTGCTGCTCTAGCGGTCAGCACCAGGGCCAGCGGCCTTCCTCCGCCCATTCAGAAGCTGGTGCGAACTCATCTGTGTCCAGCAGCACTTGCTTTATTTCAAAATCCAGAGATGGCCTGAAGGAGCAGAGAAAAGAGGAGGCGGATGGGTTGTGGAGGAGGGATGGGAAGGTGGGCTCGGCCATGTGGAAGGAAGCCAGGAGCAGCAGAGCCAGCCCCAGCTGTGGCAGTGGCCCTGGAGGCAGCCAGCCGAGGGTCACACCGGAAGCTGCCGGGCCTGGCACCCGCATGCTGTTCCTCCGACTCTGCCTGTCAGCATCCTCTGTCCTCGGTGTGTAGCTGGACACGACCTTGGACCACACAGACTCGCTGCCGGCTATGAGATCCTGTGCCATCACCTAGTGACTGCACCAGATCCTGTCTTCTAGCAGTGATCTGAGATGCTGGGATCATTGCGTGGGTTCAAATCTCGGCTCCACCAGCAGGTTGTATGTACCCTGGCCCACAGAGTGGTTTAGGACAGGAGAGCAAATAACCACGGAGGAGTGCCGAGGGCGGGGACGTAGAGGCAGGGATTCGGAAGGCAGGTTGCACAGCAGAAGGGAGAGCATCAGCAAGGGTGCTGATTTACACCCTCTCTGCTTTACTTTTTCAAGCATCAAGGTTGGGTTTTTGCTTAAGATTGGAGGGAGTTTTAAAAAGTTTGTGGAGCATGCGATCAAAAGTTTATTTTGCTGCCAAAAATGTTCATAATTCATGTTCATTTTTTTCATGATACGCACTTTCCTAGGATTTTTTTGAAGGCCCCCCACGCCCCTCCGCCGGTCTTCTGTCTCAATTAGATAGAGGCTTGAGATCAGAGATCTGAACTGTGAAAACCTTTGTTATCCAACTCTTCTGAAAAAAAACCTCTCAACCTCTTTGGCTCTCTACTGCCACCTGGTGGCAGTGTACTGAAAGTGCAGGACTCCCAGAAAGCGGACAGCAGGCATTCAGGCACCTTCCCTGTTTTCCAGATTCTTGAGCGTCACTTTGGTCTTCCTCTCCAAGAGCCAGCGGTTCCTGCGGGTTGGCCTGGCTGTGCCTATCCTCAGCACAGTGGCAGCTCTGAGGAAGATGGTAGCAGAAGAAGGCAGCGTCCCGGTAGATGAGGTGTGGTGGATGGGATGAGGTGTGGTGGCTGGGTTGGCTGGGTGGGACAATGAAATGTCACTGGGCTGCTGAGGTTGGCCTGTGGCTTCCAGGGATTTCTTCCCCAGATATCTTCCTTGTCTTCATTTACAAACCTGTTAATCTGAGAGAAAGAATAGAAAGAATCTTCATTTTACTGGTTCACTCCCCAGATACCCAGTTAGCTGGGATTGGGCTGAGGCCCAAGCTGGGAAGCAGGAGCTCCATCCAGGTCTCCACAGGGGTGGCACCTGGGCCGTCCTCCTGGGTCTTGGCAGGTGCATCGGCAGGGAGCTGGATGGGAAGCAGAGCAGTCGGGATGCCAACTTATATACTCTGGTATTGAGTTGCAGGGGTCACAGACAGCAGCTTTATTCATGCACCATGATGTCAGTCCGTTTCTTTTCATTCGACTGTTTAAAATTTTAACAGCAGATGTATTGGAAGAGTAGGGAAACAACATTCATTGGTTCAAACCCCAAATGTCTCCAGCAGCATGGGCTGGATCAGGCTTACGCCCAGAACCCAGAATCCAATTCAGGTTTCTCCTGTTAGCAGTAAGCACACCAAGTACTGGAGCCACCCCCTGCTTCTTCCTGGGGTCAACATTAGCATGAGGCTGCAATCGAATGCCAAGCTGACACTGGCACTGTGATATAGGGCATGTGAGTGTCCCCAGGGGTGCCATAAGTCCTCACGATTTGTTTTTGGGGGTCACAGTAAAGGCATTGGAGGGAGGGCCCCGTGAGGCAGGCAGAGAAAGGGTTGCAGCTGTGACTCGGCCACTTTCTAGCTATCTGACCTCAAGCATGAGTGGCTTTTGCTCTCTGGGTTAGGTTTCTCCCATATAGGATATTTTTTTTTTTCCCAATAAAGGAGTGCTTTCAGCCCTTTGTTGAGGTCTAGCCCAGGCAGCCGAGAAGATGAACACCCTTGGGTTGTAGAGTGTTGAGTTCTGCGTCTGCGTACCTGTGTGCTTGCATCGGTCCCCACCCTTTAGGGTTTTCCTAGAGGTCTCAAGAAGTGAGGGTTGTGTGCAGGAGGTGAACTCTGACGTGAAAGGGAGAGGAGTTTGCTGGGGCAAACAGTGGCTGTCAGGAAAGCTGGACAGTGGGAGATGAGGACTACTCCTGGGGAGGCGAGGGCTGGGATGCAGGCGGGCGGCCTGCCCGCTCGACACAGCTCATCTGTGATCGCTGGTGCATATGCTTTTGTGTTTGATTGTACACTTTCTCTTTACCCTAATTTTACTAGTTCTTTGTGTGTGTGTGTGTGTGTGTGTCTGTGCTCCCTCCCCTCTAGAGAATTTTTCTTTATTCCATCTCTTCTGGCTTGAAGTATATATGTTAGATTGCTGTTTGATCATCAATTATTGCTAAAATGTCTATATGCATAATAAAGTCTAATGTTGATTTTCCCAGTTAACATTTGGGGTTGCTTTAACTGCCCTCATCCTTTTTTCTTTTTTGATTTAGGTGTCGTGCTTGACAGATGTTGTCCAGTAGTTTAATTCCACCTGGAACCCTCAGTTGTAGTAATAGTTATGGTTTTACCCAGCCATGCATGTCTTCACTAGCCAAGCCTGACTGTTTTCTGTGACTCGTCCTGTCCTTCGCGATCCCACTTTTCCTTCTTGGCATTGGTGTTTAGTGGGAAAGCTGAGACATGGAGATAGAGATCTTTCCTTCATGGGTTCATTCCCCAAATGGTCATCAACAGCTAGGACTGGGCCAGGCCAAAGCCAGGCAGCCTGCAGGTCTGTGTGCATCTCCCATGTCCCTAAGTTCGTGAGCCATCCCCTGCTGCCTCCTGAAGTCTACACTAGCAAGAAACGGGAGTCAAGAACTTAGCTGGGGCCTGAATCTTGGCACTCACATAGGCAAAACCAGGGTCCAAGTGGTGTTATGATTTCTGTGCCAAGTTTTCCTTCTGATTCCCTTCCCTTCTCTTCCCTTCCCTTTCCTTCTCCCCTCCTTCCCCTTCCATTTCCCTCCCTTACCCTTTTCCCTCCCCCTCCCCTTTCCCTCCCCCTCCCCTTTCCCTCTCTCCCCTTCTCCCCTCTCTCCCCTTCTCCCTTCCCTCCCCTCCTCTCCCCTCCCTCCCTCCCTCCCTCCCTTCCTTCCTTCCTTCCTTCCTTCCTTCCTTCCTTCCTTCCTCTTAGTTTGTTTTTATTTAAAAAGCAAAATTAGAGAGAGAGAGAGGTCTTCCATCTGCTGGTCCACTCTCCAGAAGGCCACAGTGGCTGCAGCTGGGTCAGTCTAAACTCAGCAGCCTGGAGCTTCTTCCAGGTCTCCCATATGGGTGAATAAGCCCAAACATTTGGGCCATCTTTTGCTACTCTCCCAGGCAGGTTAGCAGGGAACTGGATTGGAAGTGGAATAGCTGGGACTTGAGCTGGCACCCGTATGGGATGCTGGCATGACAGGCAGAGACAACTTACAGTGCCGTGGAGCTGGCTTAATTTCTCTTCTCTCCTCTCCCCTCTCCTCCTTTCCCCTCCCCTTCCTTTCTCCCCTTCCTTCATCCTTTCCTTCTTTCTTTATATAAATATACATTCTGAAATCCATATTTTAGGAGAGAACCTCCCAGCCACAGTGCCTGAGATGGGTTCTAGATGCTGAGACACTGCTTTGCCCTGCTCTGTTGGCAGCCAGAACCTTAAGCAAAGCCGCCCTCCTTTCCAACCTAAAGACCCAGCTCTTCCTGTTTCCCTGCCTTGCATGCGCTATGTACGTGTGGGAAAGCCATGCATGACATTCTTTAGAAATCTCTCCGTGGAGTTGTCATGAGCTGCACGTGCCCTCGTGGGTCTCAGCTGCACTTTATTTCATGCCCAGTCTTCTGTGATAACTTAGCAGGGGGCAAAACTAGATTTTCAGGTTTGTCGGTAGTCGGTGTTTTAGGGTTATCCTTGGAGTGTTTGATTAGGAAGGCAAGAAGAAAATGAGGCTGTCAGACTGTCGGTCACTTTTAGGGTTCTTTCCCATTGGGCTGTGTCTGAAGATCAAGGGGGATCCTTCTCATTCCAGGTGATCTTGGTTGAACTGCACCCTAGTGGATTCCAGCGGTCTTTCTTTGATGATGAGGACCTGAATACCATTGCAGAGGGCGACAATGTGTACGCCTTCCAAGTCCCTCCGTCGCCTGGCCAAGGGACGCTGTCAGGTATAACAGTGTTGGGTGTTTCATTTGAGTTGTGGATTGCAGGCTTGAGAGGGTGCTCTAAGGCTGCTGAGGCATGCTACTTTGATTTTCAGCACTGGGAACATCGGGTTTGTTTTCCCTATAATTTTATGTACACATGGTTGATAAGACGAGTGACTCAGCTAATTCCCAGGCCTTGAAAAGTGACGCAGTTAATTCTCAAAGCCGTCACAGATACCAGAATCACTGGAGGGCTTGGGAAAGTAGTTTTCGTCCCAGGGTTCCTTTCCCAGGTTCCCGCAGACCTGGGAAAGTTTGGGGGTGCTTCACTGCTGCTGCCTCAGGGCCCGTAGCCCATTGTGGGAGCTGGGGTCCTCTCTGTGCTCAGGACTCCGGTGGTTCAATGTCTGAGTTTGTAGTAAAATGCCCACAAATGTAGGCAGCCAGAGGGGCTATTCTGTGACTTTCTATGGTTTCAGCTATTTCAGTCAAGTATGGTCCAAAAGTGTTAAATGGGAAACATTTCAGAAATAGATGATGTAGAAAGTTGAACAAAACTTTTATTCGGGTATGTGATTATAATTGTTCTGTTTTATTGCACAATGTGATTGGTTTCAGAATGCGTCAAATTACAAGCTGAAATTTACCATACCTAGATATGTGTAAAGAACGGAAAGACTTAGTGCTTAATAGTATCTGTGGTTTGGGCATCCACAGAATGTCTTGGAACTTATCTCCCTGGGATAATGGGGGTAGTGCTGTGTCCCAGATAACTCCCTGGCCCCAGGCCCCCAGCCAGCGGAGACAGCAGGCTCGGATGTTGGTGGTTCTCTGAGCCAACAGGGAGTTTCGGGGCCTGGAATCTTCGAGAAGACACTGACTGACCCTGGCTGTGTTACAACCCTATGAAACAAGTCCTCATTTCACACTCCTCTGGGGGGTGGCACATTTTTCTCCGAGAGTGATCATGTCAGCACCGATTGGGAGTGGGGGATAGTCCAGTCCCTGTATACCCTCAGTGGGAGAGACCCTCACCCTCACCACGTACCTGTTGGGTTGCCCCTCAAGGACAGTTTGTCTGAAGACACTGGCCAAGGCACAGGAACAGTGCAAAGACTCTTGGCAGCGTGGCTCTGCAGGTGGCTTTGGAAAGCCTTCGTGAAACCCCCGTCCTTGCTTCTAGATGATTTGCCTGGGCACACCCGCAAATCCACGCTGTGTGTCTATAGGATCTTTGGGTGTCAGAGAACAGGAATGCCTTGTGGATCCTCCGTGCTCCCTGGCGCCCACCCACTGGTGGTTTATTGATGCTTCAGAGCTCCACTGAGCAAAGCAGTTGCTTCATGCCTATGTCATTCTCTCTCCCCAGCTCACCCACCGGCTCTGTCGGTCTCGCCACGCCTGGCAGCCCGTGAGGGTCCGCGACAGTCCCTGCTTCTCCACAGTGAGAACAAGGTGCTAATCCTCCTCTGTAACTTGGTAGGGTCAGGGCAGCAGGCTAGCAGGTATGTTTAACATCATCTTTTTCTTCTTGTTTCCCTGTGATGTCTAAGATGTAAGCTCTGCACTGGGGCTTCTGTCTGGAATAATGCATATGTGATATGGCTCAACATCTGTCCCCGAGGTGGGACAGCTAGGACTGGGGGCAGCAGGGCACTTCCTGCTCAAGGGGATCAGAAACAACTGCCCACAGCAGGTGGTTGATGCCATCCTTAGTGGGCATCAGGAGCTGTGCTGCTGGGCAAAAGGACAGTTGTCACCGCTCTCACTACTTCTAGGCTGTGTTGTGTGGAAAGTGCAGTGAGCTTAGGCTAAGAGCAGAACAGCTATAAGACTATAGGAAGCAATCCCTGTTTGTAGATTGAAGGGTCATCTGTCCACAGAACCGAGAACTACTAAAATGACCGGTTATCAGACACATAAGTATTACAAAACTGGTAGACTTCTTGAATAGTCTGAGTAAAACATTTGTGAAGACATGATATTGAGGGTGCTGGGTGTGCTTGCTACCCTGAGCTGACCATTGTGCAGTGTGTGCACGTGTCCGAATGTTACGTCGTGCCCCAGAAGCATATGCAATTATGATTTGTCAGTTGAAGATAAGTTAGGGGCAGGTGTTTGGCATAGTACTTAAAAATGCTGCTTTGGACGGCCACTTGGGACAGCTGCTTTGCTCCCAGCTCCTTCCGGAAGGCTTGAGTCCTCCCTCCTCTGCTTCTGATTCAGTTTCCTGCCAGTGTGCACCCTGGGAGGCAACGGGTGATGGCACTAGTATGGGGGGGGGTCTCTGCCACTCATGAGAGATCCCCCCGGGTTGAGTCCCATGTGTTTGTCTTCTACCTGGGATTTGGGGAGTGAACCAGCAAGTGGAAAATCCCTCTCTGTCTGTCTCTGCTTTTCAAACTTAAAAAAAAGGGGGGGTTTTTTAAAAAAAAAAAAACTAAATACAGATATCCTTAGATCGGTTGAAAAATGTTTCTAAATTGCAACTGGAATAATCAACTGATAGTAATACCCAGAAAACAGTAGTAGGGGTGAGGGAAAGACAGAAGAATTTCTCTAGTGAAACAGAATGGAGCTGTCATTATTAAAACATTGTGATATGGGCAGAGGTGTGTACAGTTACACCCGATGTAAACCTGTAAGGACGCACCGTCTGCTACAAATGGCAGAGCTCCCATTCCTGGGGAAAGAACAGATTCTTCAACTAGTAAGTCTAATTGATTTCTTTCTTGCTGCTGTGGGAATTCACGAACTGATTAGAGAGGGGATAGTAGTGGAGGAACCAGAAAACCAAGACTGTAGGTGAGGGATAGCTTTAATACCTAAAGCAGGAGACTGTGAGGGGAAGACCATTTTTTAAAAAAGATGTTATGATATTAAACAACTTGCAATGCACAGGGCACATGAGGGAAATGATCTGTGCCAGGTTGTGAATTCATATCCACGCCAAATACACGAGCGTGGTCTCACATGTTTGAGATAAATGCTTGAGATGGAATGAGCCATAGAGAGCAACATTAGTTCATGGGAGAAATAAATGTATAGGTTGAGGGGCTGGCACAGTGGATTAGCAGCTTAAGCCAATCTATAGGGGTGCCGTTTTAAGTCCCAGCTACCCCACTTCTAATCCAACTCCCTGTTTATGGAGCCCGGGAAAGCAGCAGAGGGGCCCAAGCACTGCACCCATGTGGGAGACCCAGAAGAAGCTCTTGGCTCCCAGCTGTGAACTGGCCCAGCTCTGGCTATAGCAACCATTTGGAAAGTGAACCAGCAAATGGAAGATCTCTTTCTGTCTCTGTGTCTCTCCTTCTCTCTACCTTTCCAATAAAAATAAATAAAATCTTTTTTTTTAAGTGTAGGTTGAAACATCCAGCAGTGTTACTAGAAAACATTCAGATAATAGCAAGGTACTGGGTCCCCCCACAACCCAAAAGATTCATACACCCAATACGCAGAATTGCAGAGAGAGGGAGGAGAGAGAGAGAGAGATCTTTCATCTGCTGGGGTTTTTTTTTGTTTGTTTGTTTGTTTTATTTGCAAATAACCACAATGCTTGGAACAAGGCCAGTGGAAAGCCAGGAGCCAGGAGCTTTTTCTGAGTCTTCTACGTAGGTGCAGGGGCCCAAGCACTTGGGCCATCCTTCCCAGGTACTGTACCAGGGCTGTGGTCCGGAAGTGGCGTAGCTAAGACTTCAATGAGCATCCATATGGGATACCAGTACTGCAAGGCGTAGCTTTATCCACTATGTTACACCACTGACCCCAAGATGGCAGTTATTTTAAAGATTTATTTATTAATTTATTTGAAAGGCAGAGTTACAGATCTTCCATCCACTAATTCCCTCCTGAAATTGTCACAATAGATGGGTTGGGATCAGATCAACCCCGGAGCTAGGAATACCACTTGGGTCTCCCACATGTGGCAGGGGACCAAGCGTTTGAATCATCCTCCATTGCTTTCCCAGACATGCTAGCAGGAAGATGGATCAGAAATAGAGCAGCCAGAACTCAATTGGCACATCAGTGTGGGATGCCAGGGTTGCAAGTGGTGGTTTAACATGCTATACCGTGAAGCATGTCCCATATCCCGTGTTCTTCGTACTGTAAAACTCTGTTGTGTATTTCTTAGCTTTGAATGTAGAAAATGTTCCCAACTAGGAGAATATTCCTGAATGCCTAAAACCCAGGCTGGGGGTCATCTATGTTTTACCCATGCCTAGATTTTCTCTGATTTGAACATCATTCTTCCTGCTTGCTACGGAGCTGGTGGGCAGTGTTTACCAGCCAGCTGATCATTCAGAAGAGGCTGGTGGCCATGGTGGCCATGGTGGCCATGGTGGCCCATGGCAGTGTCTATGATATTTCGCATTTCTGGACTTCTGTGTGTCTCCATTTGTCATGGGGTTCTCTGGTGGGCAGTTTTGCACTCACGTTGACCTCGCTGTGTCAGCGCTTCGCAGATGCAGCTGGGAGGAACCTACGAGCAGAGCTGCTGCTGAGTGACTTAAACGTTGTTTGTGTTGCTCAAACAACCTCACTGTCCTTGGCCTTCCAGGTTCGGGCCGCCTTTCCTGATAAGGGAAGACAGAACCGTTTCCTGGGCCCAGCTCCAGCAGTGTATACTCAATAAGGTCCGCTGCCTCATGAGGAGTGAGGCCCCCGTGCAGGTTAGTGTGTGTGTGTGTGTGTGTGTGTGTGTGTGTGTGTGTGTGTTGGGAGGAGGGTGGGATTAAGGCTCAGGAGAGAGAACAGTTTGCCTTGGAGAGTATTCATTGTTGCATAAAACGACTCGGATTTGCATGTAAGACGGTAGCGTTGTGTGGTCTGCTGTTTTGGGATCTCTGTGGTATTGCAAGAGACCAGTCTGGATGGAGTCTTGTTCAACCTTTCCCGACACCCCAGGGATAGAGTGACATTTAATTTTATTTGTTTTATATGTTTATGATCTTTTGCATGGTTTTTCCTAGAGGAAAGCATACTGTTATACATTGTAATATACGTGTAAGATCAAAAACTTCAAGAAATCAGAGATAAATGCTCTCGGTAGGAAATGAAAATTGGATGATTGTGTCCATCTTTGAAGCTCTAGAAAGTGAAAGAATTTTATTCCAGGTTTTTAAAAAGTGAGATGAAAAACTCAAAAGAAAGCATCTTTTTACCTTGTTCACCTGTTTATTTTCAAGTGAATAGTTCCGAGAAATTTTTTTTAAACCATAGGCATTTCCCTCCTTTGATGTCAGACCCCTGGCCAGTGGCTGCTGGCAGGGAAGATGTTGCCAGGTTTCGGGGACAAATGAGTAACACTCAAGTCGGGATTCTTGCCAACTCTTCTCTTAGGAAGAGTGCTTCATTTGGGGGAGTATGTCCACCTTCATGCAGAGAAAATTCTTCCCAATTCCTGTGTCTTCCTGCTCGGTGAATAACCATGTGCCTCGCTGACTGAGCATCTGCACAGATACCGCAGTGTTCAGGACCTGCGCTGCCTGTGGTACTGTCCTTTATCTCCCATGCAACTTATTCAGGGTCCCACAGAGCAGACCTGCCACGCTACCCAAATTAGAAACTTAAATGTGGCCACAAGTAGGTCAGAGGATCTGATATTAGCAGGAGCTGTCCTCCCCTCCCAAACTCATGCTACTGATTGTTGAACGTGCAGGGGGCTACTTTCTTCCTTTTTTTTTTTTTTTTTTTCCTTTTCTAAGGTTTATTTAGTTTTATTGGAAAGGCAGATATACAGAGGAGAGGAGAGTCAGAGAGGAAGATCTTCCGTTCGATGATTCACTCCCCAAGTGGCCACAATGGACGGTACTGTGCCGATCCAAAGCCAGGATCCAGGAACTTCCTCCAAGTCTCCCATGTGGGTGCAGGGTCCCAAGGCTTTGGGCCATCCTTGAGTGCTTTCCCAGGCCGCAAGCAGGGATCTGGATGGGAAGTGGGCCTTCCGGGATTAGAACCGGCGCCCATATAGGATCCCAGTACATTCAAGGCGAGGACTTCAGCCGCTAGACCACTGTACCGGGCCCTAAAGATTTATTTTTATGGGAAAGTCAGATATACACAGAGGAGAGACCAAAGAGGAAAATCTTCTGTCTAATGATTCACTCCCCAAGTGGCTACAATGGCCTTAGCTAAGCCAATCAGGAGCCAGGAGCTTCTTCCAGGTCTCCTACGTGGGCACAGGGTCCCAAGGCTTTGAGCCGTCCTCAACTGCTTTCCCAGGTTACAAGCAGGGATCTGGATGGGAAGTAGAGCAGCTAGGATATGAACGACTGTCCATATGGGATCCTGGCGCAGGCAAGGTAAGGACTTTAGCCACTAGGCTATGGTGCTGAGCCCAGGGAACCACTTTCATGTTAACTGTGCACTCAGTTAGTGCAGCGCTCCACCTGGTCACACACATAGTCTTGACTCTGTATCTCTATTGTAGTTTTGGCAATGAAACTGATGAGATATCTTTGGGGCCACCAAACTTCCCAACACTAGCATTGTCCAACCAGACCACAGACTCTTTCTGATAGACTCAGGAATCATTGTATATCTGGGCGTGATTGCTGTAGAAGTGATGATTGTGAGGCTTCTTGACTAGTCCACTTGTTAAACCCATCATTCCTTTAATAGTCTGTTAAGTGCTGGCTCAAAATGGTATTAATTTGAGAAGCATGTATTCTGCATTCGCAGCATTGGACTGAGAGAGGCTCAGTCTAGCAAACATGTAAGAAGGTTCTAGAGAAAAAATAGGGGGCATGAAAATGTTTCTTAGAAAACAGGACTAGTTAGAATTCTTTTGCATACATGGTGAGAAGCAGGGTTTGTCACTGCTGAATTTTTTTTTTTAAAGATCTGCTTATTTTTATTGGAAAGTCAGATTTACAGAAAGAAGGAGAGCCAAGAGAAAGATCTTCCATCTGCTGGTTCACTTCCCAAGTGGCTGTAATGGCTGGAACTGAGCTGATCTGAAGCTGAGAGAGAGAGGAAGATCTTCCGTCCTATGGTTTACTCCCCAAGTGGCTGCAACAGCTGTAGCTGAGCCAGTCCAAAACCAGGAGCCAGGAGCTTCTTCCGGGTCTCCCACATGGGTGCAGGGTCCCAAGGCTTTGGGTCATCCTTGAGTGCTTTCCCTGGAGCACAAGCAGGGAGCTGGATGGGAAGTAGAACAGCCAGGATACGAACCGGTACCCATATGGGATCCTGGCACATGCAAGCGAGGACTTTAGCCACTAAGCTACTATGCTGGGCTCCATTGGTGAAACATTTTTATGATCACTTTGCAAGCCAGGGTTGTGAGGCCAGCGTCCGTTTTGAGCGCAGGTCGGGTTAGCTACAGATGTTACTGCTTTGACGATTGGCAGCCTCGCTGTGGCTCACAGCAGAACAGGTACATGACTGGCAGGTTTCTCCCCAGGTTGAAGTTAACAGGTGTCTTAGGGAATGCACCTTCTGTGGCTAACCCTCAGTTGAAGTCAGTTGCTTCCAGCCATTGCTTTCTCTTTGTGGAAGCTGCAGACCAGTAAGAATGTAGCTATAGTGCAGGGAGACGTGCAAACTCCGTAAAATTCACGTTGGAGACCCTCCCCTCCCTGATGGGGTCTTGGCCATCTCACTGACCTCTTGTTTCTTGGACAACTTGAAGGAGTTTGAATCTGTTTTCCAGCTTCGTGTGTATGTAGTTAGAGTGATGATTGTCTGCAACAAGTATAAAATCTATATTTCCTTTATGGAAGACGCCATTGATGTTTTTAATTGTGATGAAAATCGGCATAAAATCTGTTTTCATCATTCATAAGTGTATCTTAGTTACATTTACCATAACTGTTGTAAATGTTACCATTATTTCTTTCTCATCTTTATTGCCACATTTCTTTATCATCCTCAGTGACAGCTAGACCCATTAAATAGCAGCCACCCCACCCTGCTTCCTCTTCCCAGGCCCTTACAACTGCAGCTTTCATTGCTAATGGATTTGTCTCAGATGACTGGAACCATACAGTATTTGTCCTTTTTTTCTAAAAAAAAAAAAAAAAAATTATTTGAAAGGCACAGCAGCAGAGAGAATGACATGCACACGTGCGCACGCATAAACACACACACACACATACACACAATACATACACACTGTCTGCTAGTATGTTCCCCAATTGACCACAGTATCTGGAGCTGGGCGAGGCTGAAGCCAAGAGCCAGGAGCTCAGTTCAGTTCTCCCATGTGTGTGGAAGAGGTCCAGCCACCTGGACCATCTTCCACGGCCTGCTCAGGTGCACGAGCACACAGCTGGATTGGAAGCCAAGCAGCTGGGACACCGGTCCAGTATGGGATGCCTGGCTTGCACACATCTGCTTAATGTGCTGTTCCTCATATTTTTCTGCTCTGATTGGCTTCCTTCCGAAAGCATCGTGTTTGCAGGGTTCATCGATGTTGTAGCACATGTCAGCTGGGTGGCCAAACAATAGTCCGTTGTGAGGACCATGGACCATGTTGTATGTGTCTATTCATCAGAACCACTGCCTGTTTATGTAGCAGCTATACTATTTTAAATTCTTACTAGCAACACACAAGGGTTCCAATATCTCTACATCCTTGTCAGCACTTTTTTTTTTTTTTTAGCTAAAAATGTTTTTATGGTTTTAATTTGCATTTCCCTCATGACTGTTGGTACTGACTGTTGGGAATTGGGGAGAGAAAGGAAGAAGCCACACCCGGCATCCCAACCGCATCAGTACCCGAGGATGGGGGATGGCCACACGAAGTCATTCCAGGGTTCCCGATGTGGAACATGCTGCAAGGGTTCTGCTCAAGTGGTTTCGATAGTTCTGAAATGTTAATTTCCTTGCTGCAAGGATGAGGAAGTCCTTTCAAGGTCTGTTGACTAACATAGTCCATCTTACAATCTCCATTTGCCCAGATATTTGCTGTGAAAGCCTGGCTGGGAGATCTGTCCAATTTGTTCTGCCCTCTAGCCTCTTCAGGCTCCAGTGGACTGCCATATCCCCCATGTGCATCTGGGCATGCCGTCCACTGCACCATCTTCTGCAACTAAGGAGGCCAAGTTCTGACACGTGCACTCCACAGTCAGACCACAGATCTTGCGATTTTCCCTGTGGTTGGAGTTCTGAGTCCAGCAATCCAGTTGGGTGGGGTTCCCCATAGAAACCTCGCCAGAGGTGACCCCAGACCTGACTGATGTATGTGCCAGCCAGTACGGGGTCTGCTTCAGCCCATAACCCGCATCAGCTTATATACACACTAGTGGTTGCAGTTGTTGGGTCAGTTCCGTCCCCAACTCCATCTCTTAACTCAAACCAATAGATGATGCCGTCCAGCCCATCCCTGGCCACCACACACTTGGCAGTCATATACACCAGTGGGAACTGCTGCCTGGTCTGAACCACCCTCAGTAACCCTCACCAGTCCCACCCCAGCCATGGTTCTTCGGCATGCCAGTATGTGCAACAGACTGGTCTGGTCTGCCCCACATCCCATTCCACTATTGTACACACACAGTGGGTGCTGCAGTCTAGCTCATTCCCACCAGCCCCACTATCCAGCCTACACTTAGGCTAGCAGGTGTTACTGCCTGTTCAGCAAGGCCCACCCCAGCACTGGTTCTCATGTTCCCTGGTGGGAGCTGCAGCCCATCAGAGGCCTGCTCAGAGTTTTCCTAAAGGCCCACTCCCAGCCCTGGATTTTGTACTTTTCAGGGGGTGCTGTGGTCTAGCTTGACAGGACTTGCCCCTATTCCCAGCTGATGCTGCACCAAGGCCTGACCAGTCTGCAGTTACTCTACACCAGCGGATACAGTCACTTCGCCCAGTCTGACTCTCCTCCTAACCAGCTCACATGCAGGCAAACAGGTGTTGTAACCCTTCCCAGCTCTTATCACTACCCTCCTTCCCCTCCCCTCCAATCTTAGGCTTGTGGGTGCTGCAGCCAGCCCAGCCTGAACTGCCCCCTGTCCTGGCTCTAATGTTAACTGGATAGTGTTATGGCCCAACCTGGTCTATGCTATATCCGTCCTGGTTCTCACATCTGCCAGTGGGTGCTATGAACTGGCTCAGCCTTGCCCGTCTCCAGACTTGACCCACACGTATGCTGGCTGGTACTGTAACCTGACTTGGTCTGGGCTGCTGCCATCCTTGTTTCTTGCGCTCACCTGCAGGGACTGCATCTTGATAGAGGAGTTCCCCAAGATCCTCTAATAGGTCACCTCCCAGTTGCAGATTTTGAGCATGCCGGTGTTCTTGGCCCAGCCTAACTTGGTCTACCTTCTTTCCTGATAGAAACAGCAGCCTTGCCCAACTGGCCCACAGCCATCCCACTCTCACTATTGGGTTCTATAGTCCAGCCATGCCCTAGACCCAGCTTTCACATGGTTCAGTGGGTGCTGAGACCTAGCCCAGTCTGTTGTATACCCACCCTGGCTCTTGCAAGCATCAATGGGTGCTGGAGCCTAACCTCATATAGCACACCCCAGACCCCCAGACCCAGTCCACACCCATGCTGCGAGACACTGCAGCCATGTCCAGCCCAGTTCACTGCCCCATTCTGGCTTTTTCACTCATCAGTGAGAACCACAACTCTCCTTAGTTCCCTGACCAAGTATGCTCCCAGCCACAAATCTTGCATGTGCCAGTGGTTGCCGTGACCTAGCATGGCATAACCCATCTCCCATATTTACCTTTGTCATCAGATGTTGCGGCCTGGCCTGGCCCTGCCTGCTCCTCCTCCCCATCTCAACTCTTGCTGGCAGATGCTGCAGTCTAGCCTTGCCCAGTCTGCCTCCACCCCATCCCTGGCTTTCATTCAAACTGGTAAATGTGATAACCTAGCCCAGCATGTCCCACACCCCATCCTGGCTCCTGTGAATGCCAACGTGCTATGGTTTGGCCTGGCCCTACCTAGTCCATGCCTCCCAGAACCAATCCACATACTGAGAACTTCAATACACCAAGGGAGTTCCCCAAGTTCCCCCCACCAGGCCCACTCCCAGATCCAGATCTCACATGTGCCAGTGGGTGCCAGGCCCTTACCCGACATAGTCTGCCCTCTCTGTTTTGGCCTTTGTGTGTGCTGGTGGATACCGCTACTCCCCACTCCCTGTTCTTAGGTGTGCCTATGGGCGCTGCAGCCTGGACCGGCCTGGCCTGTTCCAACACCAGTGCCCATGAGTGTTGGGGGGTATAGCCCACTGGCACACCACCCTACCATGGGGCCTTACCCTCCCCCCTCCCTGGGCCTGAAACATATGCACCATCTCAGGCCGGCTCCGACAGCTCCCAATGTGAACCCACAGACCCCACAGCTCAGGGAATAGAGCCAGGCTGTGGGCAGCTCCGGCTTTGCAAGGTCATGTGTCATTGATTATAAGACCCACCTCAGTGTTTGAAATGTTAGAACATAAGGACAAATAGTTGATATAAAGCATAGCTTGGGACATCTACATCCCATGTGGAAGTACCTTCTGAGTCTTAGCTTTGCTTCCAGTTTTAACTTCCTATTGCTGAGCATCCTAAGCAGCAGCAGGTGATGGCTCCAGGACCTACGACCCTGCTACCCACTTGAGAGACCTGGATTGAGTTCTGGGTTCCAGGTCCAGCCCTGACTCGTGGCCATTTGAGACGTGAACTAGCAGATGTAAGATCCTTGTTTGTCTCTCCTTCTCTGCTTACCTTTCAAATAAAGATAAGTAGCTTTAAAAAAAAATTTGTAAGACAAATGTTAAATGTGATAAACTACTTATCTAAGAGTAAAAATTAGGGAGCTGGCACTATGGTGCTGTAGATTAAGCCAATGCTTATGATGCTTAACACCCCTTAACAGGGCACTGGTTTGAGTCCTGGCTGCTCTGCTTCCAGTCCAGCTCCCTACTGTGGTGCCAAGGAAAGTCACAGAGGATGAGCCAAGGACTAGAACTGCTGCCTCCCACGTGGGAGACCCAGATGGAATTCTGGGCTGCTCACTTCTATCTGGATCCATCCCAATTGAAGCAGCCACTTGGGGGGAGTGAAAATATATAAAATTTCCTGACAATTCACAATATTGCCATATTTCCCATTGTCTGTACCAAATGTTCATTTGGGTAGGGAGCGATTTCACATGTGAAACACGGATTATTTCTTGACTTTGAATACCACTTATGAGCGGGAATGGTTAAAAATGGACTACTGGAAAATATTTACATTTTTTGAGTCCTAGGTGGACCACCATACATTGGCTTCAGACTAGGGACTGCCTGATGAGCCATCTCTCTTTTTGTCTCAGCAGAATCTGGGGTCTCTCTTCTCCGTCCGGGTTGTGGGCCTCTCCCTGGCCTGCAGCTACCTGTCCCCACAGGACAGTCGGCCCCTCTGTCACTGGGAAGTGGACAGGTAAGGGGCAGTCCCAGGTTCCTCCAGAGAATGCATGTTGTGTCCTTTGGGGCTGCAGAGCAAGACAAGATGAGCTACCACTAAATCATTGCCTACCAAGCTGTATAAGATGGTGGACGATGGCCAAGGTGCAATGTCCGTGTGGCCATGGCTCTGGTGACTCTGACTTGGAGGTCCTCCATGTGTCCCCTGATAAAGCCACCTGCAAGGCCAGCACAGTACCGGGGAGGCTCCTTCCCTCTAGAGATTCATTGTCAGGCAATTGATTCATTTTCCCACAGATCCAGAGTCTGCAGTGATGGCTTCTGGATGCCTGATTTGGTCAACCGGAGTCAATTGAAGCTGTTTAACTTGGAGTTGGGCTTTCCCTTTCCCAAGTGACCAAGAAAGGGCCGCTAACAGGTTCAGCAACCAACTCCACACCCACATCCTTCTCACGAGGGGTGCTTTTGCAGTCAGTGAGGCAGAGCCTGTTGGGGCTGATGGGAAGAGGAAACATGAGGCATAGCCCACCTGTCACCTATCCATGACAGGTGTTTAGATGTGGAAGCAGAGGTAGGCTTTTGGGGTCATGGCATAGACTGCTGGTATATCCCCATGGTCTCTCGGAGTGTGAGGTACAAGTTCCTGCTGTGCTTCTGACTCTACTTCCTGCTGATGCACACCCTGGGAGGCAGCAGGTGAGGACTCAAGGGCTCGGGACCCTGCCGACCAGAAGGGGAAACCTGGGTGGATTCCCTGGCCCCAGTCTGGCCCCACTGGAGAGTGAACTGGCTTGTCTCTCTCTCTGCTTCTGTGCCTTGCAGATAAGTAAAATGAGTAAAAATGTTTAAAAGAGATATTATAACAGCAAGACAGGGCAATCTAATATCAGCTGAATCTAACACTTTTTTTAAGATTTATTTTATTTTTCTTGGAAAGGCGGATATACAGAGAGGAGAGACAGAGAGGAAGATCCTCCATCCAATAATTCACCCCCCAAGTGAGCGCAACGGCTGATGCTATACCGATGCGAAGCCAGGAGCCTCCTCCTGGTCTCCCACGTGGGTGCAGGATCCCAAAGCCTTGGGCCGTCCTGGACTGCTTTCCCGGGCCACAGGCAGGGAGCTGGATGGGAAGCGGGGCGTCTGGGATTAGAACCGATGCCCATATGGGATCCTGGGCATGCAAGGCGAGGACCTTAACCACTGCGCCACCGTGCTGGGCCCTAACACTTTTCTTTAAAAAAAAAAAAAATACAGCCAGTGCTTTGTATGTTTTCCCTACTCCCATCTGCATCCACACCCCCACCAGATGGTTTTTTTAGGGTTTGGAAACAAGCCAACAGGTGGGTCTTTCCCTGTTGGTAGTTGGAGACGCTCTAGGAAACAGAACGGCGCAGCAGTCTGATCTCCCAAAGATGCCTTCTCCTGAGGCCATGCCAGGAACCAGGAGTCCCCCTGGGTCTTCCATGCAAGTGCAGGGTCCCAAGGCTTTGGGCCGTTGTCCACTGCTTTTCCAGGCCACAGGCAGGGAGCTGGAAGTGGAGTAGTTGGGACACGAACTGGTACCCACATGGGATCCCAGTGGATGCAAGGCAAGGATTCAGCCACTAGGCCATCGCTTTGGACTCTTCTTGCTGTTCTGTGTTATTTGCTCTTATAGGCTGAATGAGTAGGTTTTTAAAGATTTATTTATTTTTATTGGATAGTCATAAAGAGAAAGACAGGAAGATTTTCCATCCACTGGTTCATTCCCCAAGCAGCCACAATGGCCCAGGGCTTAGCCATTCCCAAGCCTGGAGCCAGGAAATTCTTCTGGGTCTCTCACGCGGGTGCAGGGTCCCAAGGCTTTGGGCCGTCCTTGACTGCTTTCCCGGGCCACAGGCAGGGAGCTGAATGGGAAGTGGAGCTGCCGGAATTAGAACCGGTGCCCATATGGGATCCTGGCGCATTCAAGGTGAGGACTTTGGCCGCTAGGCTTTCTGAAGTGGGCAGGGCAGTGCAGAGGGGAGGAGCCCTGGACTCACTGTGAGATTCCTAGATGTCGGTGGGTTTGGGAGACGATGACTGGGGTGGCGGAGCTGGGCTTGAGGGTGCTGCTTCTGTGACATTAGCAGCTCTGCTGGGCTTCATCAGTGCTGGCTGTCTCTAGGCCATTATCCTGAAACTCTGCTACACGTATCACCAGGGTTTCAATGGGGCAGTTGATCTGTGTCCTTGTTGGTAACCGAAAGGCCTCAGAGCTTGCATGCCCTTTAAGACATAGGGGAGGAGCAATGTTAAGAGATAGATTAGGTGGGCTAGAGCTGTAGTATAGCAAATTATACCTCTGCTTGCAGTTCTTGCATTCCATATGGGTGCAGGTTCAAGTCCTGGCTGCTGCATTTCCAATCGAGCTCGCTGCCCATGCGCTTGGGAAAGCAGCAGAGGATGGCCCAAGTCCTTGGGCTCTTTTGCCCATATTGGAGATTGGGAAGAAGCTCCTGGATCCTGGCTTCATACCAGCCTGCTCCAGCGGTTGCAACCATTTGGGGAGTGAACCAGTGGATGGAAGATCCTCGATCTCTTCTTCTCTCTAACTTTGCCTTTCAAATAAAAGTAAATTTAAAAAAAAAAAAACGTAGTGGCAGGGTTAGAGTTCCCTTACAAAGCTTAGGGATATGGACATTAAAAAAAAAATAGGTTTGGGACTAAGCCATCAGCAGAGTTTACCAAACCTCGCCACCCAAGATAGCTGGCATTGGTTTTACAGTTGAGGGCATTTCTCTTCAGATCATGAGTCTGAGGTTGGGGACATACAGCGGCCCAAGCCTTTCCTCGCTGACAGGCTTTCCCCCCCACCCCCCAGGGCTCTGCATCTGCGCCGGCCAGGAGGCCCCCCACACATCAAGCTAGCCGTGGAGTGGGACAGCTCTGCCAAGGAGCGGTAAGTTCAAGGGCATGCTGGGACTGTCTCCCTCCTTCCTGCCTCGAGCTTCCCCGCAGGCAGTTCTGCCCCTCCAGAGGTGGACACCCGGGGAACGGATAACTTGATTCAGGGGTGGTACCCTGCAGAATTCTCCCTAGATCTGATCCTCCCCCAACCCCAGTTGCCCATTTGCACAGTGAGACAGGCCTCCGGGACCTGGTCACCCATTGTGAGTGGGTGGAAGGCAGTGTGCTCCCATCCTGCGTAGGGTGGCAGCACCCCTGCTCTCTCTCTCGCCTCCGGCTAACTCCCGTAAGGACGAGCTGTTCAGGAGCTGTGACAGTGATGGACACGATGGCAGTGGTGCAGGCCCACAACTCTGCTGTGCTTGTCCATCCTGCTGGGAGCCCTGTATGCAATGCGTTTGGAATGCATCACACCCAGCATGCAGGGACAGAGGCACGAAAGGAGAAGCTGTTGCCCCACGCCACACAGCTCACGCAGAGCCCTTCTCTGGATTGCTGCATTCGCTGGCCTTTCTACCACCTTATGTGGAAAGCGGGATGCATCACCTAGTGGGTCCTGGGCTTTGTGCTCAGATGGGGAGAACAAAGATGAATAAAGCCCCGGATTGGGTCTCCAGAGGAGCTGGCTGGAGAGAGATTATCCAGCAGGTAGCACGGGTGCACCGGGTGAGATGGAGGCCCCCATTTCCCCAGGAGGCCACTGGGCCGGGTGCTTTCCACCTGGGTGGCTCTGGGCAGAGACGTAGACCCACAGCCCTGGCAGCCGGGCACCACAGACCATCCTCTTCCCCCTGACAGCCTGTTTGGGAGCATCCCCGAGGAGCGGGTCCAGGATGCTGACAGCGTGTGGCGGCAGCAGCAGGCCCACCAGCAGCACAGCTGTACACTGGATGAGTGTTTCCAGTTCTACACCAAGGAGGAGCAGGTGCTGTCCCTGCCGGGAAGCGGGCTGGACTGCCTGGCAGTGCGGAGGGGTGGGCAGCAGTGGCGCGGGGCGGGGCTTCAAGGGTCTGGTGACTCCCGCTGCAGCTGGCCCAGGACGACGCGTGGAAGTGCCCGCACTGCCAGGTCCCCCAGCAGGGCACAGTGAAGCTGAGCTTGTGGACGCTGCCGGACATCCTCATCATCCACCTCAAGAGGTTCTGCCAGGTCGGGGAGAAGAGGAACAAGCTCTCCACGCTCGTCAAGTTTCCGCTCTCTGGACTCAACATGGCTCCCCACATGGCCCAGAGCAGCAGCGCGGGCCCCACGCCGCCGGGCCCGGGCCCCTGGCCCTCCTGGAAACAGCCAACCTGCCTGCCCACCACCTACCCGCTGGACTTTCTCTATGACCTGTACGCTGTCTGCAACCACCACGGCAGCCTGCAAGGTGGGCATTACACAGGTGAGCCTGGCCCAGCCGCGGGATGCCCCCAGAACTGGTGCTCCCCAAGGAGCTTAAGTGAGGGCTGCTGGCTCCTCCCTACCACACCCCAGGATGCCCGCAAGAGGCGAGGGCACCGGGTCCCGGCTGACATGGGCATGGGTTTGGTGGTTGGAACGTAAGTTAACTACAGCCTGGATTTTTGACTGTATCAAACAGAGGAAACTAATTATTGGAACCTAGCTTATCAGTGATTCAACAGATTTGGTATTTCTTCCCCACCCCCATTATTTTGTGGAGTGTTTTAAAATTTTTCTTGCTTGAGGGAATTGGGGCAGAAGCTAATAGCCTGACCATTTTCAATGGCTCATATTGATCCTTTTTTATATTATTATTAAATTTGAAAGGCAGATTTACAGAGAGAGAGAGGGAAAGAGAGAAAGATCTCCCATCCATTGCTTCACCTCCAAATGGCCCCAGTGGCCAGGGCTGGGCCAGGCCATAGCTGGGAGCCTTGGACTGTATGTAGGTCTCCCATGTGATTGGCAAAGACCCAAATACCAGGGCTGTCATCTGCTGTGTGCTCGGATGCATTGGTAGGGAGCTGGATAAGAGGTGAAGCAGCTGGGACTTGAACCAGTACCCATGTGGGATGCTGGTGTCACAAGCAGTTTTTTAACCTACTGCACCACAACACGGGCTCAGTGAGTCACTTCTAACATGGACAAGCCCCCAAACCATGTGGGGTGCTGTCCCTAGGGGTCACTCCTTAGTTAGGAGTAGCAGCTCGCCCTCTGGTGGCCTCCTGCGACAGCATGACGGCAGCTTGGCAGTGTGGGTTCTTCCATGTCAGAGAGTGCCTTTGCCCCCACCCTTGGCTGGCAGCCTGGTTGGGATTTGGCATTAACAGCCGTGTTCCCAAGGGTTTTGGACCATGGCGGTCCAGCAGAAATGGACCTGGAATGGGGTCTTCCTCCTGAGATGGGGCCGGACGGATTGATTTCTGCTCCGTTTAGGAGCTGCTTTTCCTTTTTGGAAGCTTCTGGAGCTCAGGAGTTGCACGGGATGGGCTTCCATACGGGTCTTTTCGGTGTGTGCAGAGGTGTGACCTTCAGGTCTGGGAGATTTCCTTGTGCCCATTTAAAAAAGTTTCTTGGGCCCAGTGTGACAGCTCAACTGGCTAATCCTCCATCTCCAAGCACCAGCATCCCACATGGGTGCCAATTCCTGTCCTGGCTGTTTCACTTCCCATCCAGCTCCCTGCTTGTGGCCTGGGGAAGCAGTTGAGGACGGCCCAAAGCCTTGGGACCCTGCACCCGCGTGGGAGACCTGGAAGAAGCTCCTGGCTCCTGGCTTCGGATTAGCTTGGCTGTAGGCATTGTGGCCACTTGGAAAGTGGATCAGCGGATGGAAGATCTTCCTGTCTCTCTGTAAATCTGCCTTTTCAATAAAATGAATAAATCTGGAAATTTTTAAGATGCATTTATATATTTGAAAGAGCATCAAAGAGAGAAAGAGAAAGCTCTTCTGTCTACTGTTTCACTTTCCAAATGACCCTTCCAGCTGGGGCTGAGCCCAGCCAAAGCTGCGATCCTGGATACCCTATCCTCTTTTTTTTTCAATATTTGAAAGGCAGATTTTACAGAGGAAGACAGAGAGGTCTTTCATGCGCTGGTTCACTGCCCAAATGGCAGCAAAAGCCAGAGCTGATCCGATCCAGAGCCACGAGCCAAGAGCTTCTTCCAGGTCTCCCATGTAGGTGCAGGGTCCCAAGGCTTTGGGCCATCCTCTATTGCTTTCCCAGGCCTCAAGCAGGAAGCTGGCTGGGAAGTGGTGCCCATGTGGGATCCCAGTGCCTGCAGGGCGGGATCTTTAGTCACTAGGCTATTGTCGCAGGCCCTAAAACTAATTTCTTACCAATGAACGTTGGGGTCGTTTCTTACAAGTTTACAGTCAGGGTAACTTCTCCAAACTGGAGTAGCTTGAGCCAACACATGACCCTGTACAAAGGTGCTAGGAATTCATGTTGCTGCTAGAAGTGAGGACTTAACCTCTTCTGTGTCATCTTGCTGGTAGAGGCCAATTGGCTGACTGTCTTTGTGATAGCCATACGCCTCTCTGAGGATGTCACATAGGCTAAGAGCCAAGGAGGATACCAGTCATAATCAGGTCAATTATGGAAGGAATCTCACTCTGGGTCTCCCATGTGGGTGCAGGGGCCCTTAGCACTTGGACCATCTTCCACTGCTTTCCCAGGCACATTTGCTGGGAGCTGGCTCAGAAGTGGAGCAAGCAGGGCTCAAAGCGGCGCCCATGTAGGATGCCGACATCATAGGCAAAGGCTTAACCTACTGTGCCACAGTGGCAGCCCAAATCAGCAATGTTCTTTATTAGTAAAAATTCAGCAGTATCACTTACTGATCTTTTCCGGGTCCAAAAACATCGTTTCCGGCCCAGATAGGGGCCGTTGTTTGTTCCTTCATTGGTCATCTTTCACTCTGTTCTAAGCAAACCCGTGTTCCATGCTATGCCAGTGGCATCTGTTCTCCTGCCCGCGGGGACCTGCTGTAACTAAGACTGGGGCCCTGGACCTTTGTAGCCTACTGCAGGAACTCCCTGGACGGTCGCTGGTACAGCTACGACGACAGCACCGTGGAACCTCTCCGGGAAGATGAGGTCAGCACCCGGGGGGCCTACATCTTGTTTTATCAGAAGCGCAACAGCATCCCGCCCTGGTCAGCCAGCAGCTCCATGAGAGGTGAGCGTGGGGGTCCTAGGGAAAACGGGGGGGATGGGACTTTGGGAAGTTGCTTAACTGGAAGGTCAAGGCCAGCCATGCTAGGTGCTAGGCCGCTGCAGGTGCAGGAGATGGAGGAGGGGGCCTGTTGTCATCAACAAAGGGGGGGCGGATGTAATCTTTGTAGCCCAGAGAGGTTGACACAGGGACCCACATCAAGCCAGGTGTAAGTAAACTATGCTGTTATGCTTGTTTATTTTACTTGAGATTCAGAATTAGAGAGAGAGAGAGAGACCTTCCATCTGTTAGTTCACTCCCCAAATGACCATAATAGCTGGAGCTGAGTCAATCCAAAGCTAGGAGCCAGGAACTCCCTTCGCTTATCCCACGTGGATGCAGGGAGGGACCAAAGGCCCTGGGCCATCTTCTGCTGCTTTCCCAGGCCATTAGCAGGCAACTGGTTTGGAAGTGAAGCAGCTGGGACTTGAATTGAGGTCCCACCTGGGTAGCTGGCACCACAGGCAGGGGCTTAGCTTACGATGCCACCGTGCCAGCTCCTTCTCTCTAAACTTCTAAGCTTGGTCGTATAGGGATGCCCATCTCAGAGTTCTGCTCTAGTCATCAACTTTTGCTTCTGCAGTCCAGTTCTAGTCGTGTCATTCCAGGGCCGGGGAAGGGAACATGGCCGTGGGACGCTCTCGAGCCTTCTGATGGTGGGTCAGCTGCAGCTGTCCTCTCTCTGCTTTCTCCGCAGGCTCCACCAGCTCCTCCTTATCCGACCACTGGCTCATGAGGCTCGGGAGCCTCAACAGCAGCACCAGGGGAAGCCTGCTGTCCTGGAGCTCCGCCCCCTGCCCCTCACTGGCCCGGGTCCCCGACTCTCCTGTGCTCACCAACAGCCTCTGCACTCAGGACAAAGGTATGCCGCTTAAGTCTGCCGATTTTGTTCGCCAGTGTGGCTGTTCTGCCTTCTCTCCCTATTTTAATGTTGGCAAAATCTGTTGATTTTAGGGGTGGGCATTTTTGCCTAGCGATTGATAAGAGCCATCTGGGACCCCTTCATCCGTATCAGGGTGCCTGTGTTTGAGTCCCAATGTCACTGGAGCTTCGTGCTGTCACACACCCTGGGCTGTGGCACATGACAGCTGTTGTATTTGGGCCCCTGCCACGCATGTGCAAGACACACTCCTGGCATTTGGGGTAGAACAAGCGGATAGATTTTTCTGTCTGTGTCTTTCAACTTAGCCTTTTAAGTAAAAAAAAAAAAAAAAACAGCAGAAAATGATACCTAGATTTATTTATTTGAGAGAGGCAGACAGAATGGTGAGAGAGTTCCCATCCACTGGTCAATTCGCCAGATGCATGTAATGGCTAAGGCAGGGCTGGGCTGAAGCTGGGAGACAGGGTCAATCCAGGTCTCCCACGGGTGTCAGGAAGCCAGGCAGCTGACTTCTCACCTGTCTCCCAGGGTGTTCATGCCCTGTGAACACTTGAGGCACTTCTTGCACCCAGGCACTCTGATGTGGGATGTTGGCATCTGAAATGGTATCCCACCTGCTGGGCCAGATGCCTACCCCCGCTCCTGTTTATCCAGGTGTTGGCATGTCTTGGCCTTGAGTATAAAGAATCGGTCGTTGCCAGAAGTATTCCATCCCTCAGTGGAAAGTCTTCCATGCCACACCCTACCTGCCACTACTCCCCTGCACATGGTGCAGCCTTCACTTGACGTCCTTTGGTTTCACAACCATAGCTGCTGGCAACCATGGCTACAAAGCATTCAGCACAAAAGCTACACCTGCAATGGATCACGTGTAGATTATGATTTACTTTTTGGCTGTTATTCCCTAAGCAGTATAGTATAACTACTATTTATGTAGAATTGGCAGTGTCTTAGTTGTGACAAGTAGTGTCTGCAGGGGGCGGTGTGTGGGTTGTGCCACTGATATAAGGGAATTGAGCATCCTCAGAGTTTGGGTCCCCCTGAGGGATCCTGGAACCAGCACCCCTTGGATGCCAAGAGGCATCCGAGTCTTCTTTCTCTGCGTCCATTGAGCCCACCATCTCAGGTGGAGTACGGCAGGTTGACAAGGAAACAACACAGCAGTGTGGCTTGTAGCAGGGAGCTGGATGGGAAGCGGGGCTGTCAGGATTAGAACCATCGACCATATGGGATCCTGGCGCGTTCAAGGTGAGGACCTTACCTGCTAGGCCACTGTACTGGGCCCATCCTCCTGAATTTTATTGCTTTTGCCCTAGGTTGGTAGCTGCTTTGTGAAGGGTATCTGTTAGGTCTTTGTGAACCGTGCTTTTCTACCAAAAGGCTGCCCTTCATCAGCCTAATACATCTCACCTTCCTTTCGACTTCCTTCAAGGTTTGCAATCCCTTTTTTGTTGTGGTGGCTGATAGCCTTTGTAACGCTAGAAGTGCAGGACCTGTCTAATCGTTGGAGAATTCAGTCCATCAGTATTTATCAAATGCACAACTTCATTCATTTCACTTTTAAGGAATGGACTTGTTTGGCACAGCTATTAAGATGCCCCTGGAGGGGCCAACATGTTGGTGTGGTGGGTTAAACTACTGGTTTTGGTGCTGGTATCTTTTAGTCAGTTCGAGCCCTGGCCGCTCTGCTTCCAGTCTAGCTCCCTGCTCATGTGCCTGTGAAACAGCACATGGTGATCTAGGTGCCTGGGCCCCACCACCCACCGGCAGACCTGGATGGAGTTGTAGGCTGCTAGCTTCCTCGCCCAACCCTGGCCGTTGTGTCCGTTTGGTGTGTGAACTAGCACAGGAAAGATCGCTTTCTGTCCCTCCCTCTCTGTAGCTCTTTCCAATAAAATCTTCAAAACCAACCAACCAACCAACCAACCAAACAGAAAACAACTGCTGCTTAGGACACCTGCATTCCATAGTGGAATACCTGGGTTCGAACCTCCACTCTACTCCTGATCCCAGCTTCTTGTTCATGTTTACCCTGGGAGATAGCAGGTGCCCACATGTTTACCCTGGGAGATAGCAGGTGCCCACATCAAGTGCTTGGGTGCCTGCCAGCCACGTGGAGCACCCACACTGAGTTCCAGGCTCCTGGCCTCAGCTTGGTGCAGCTCTGGCTATTGCAGTCATTTGGGGAGTTGAACCATTGGATGGAAGATCTCTCTCCATCTCTTTTGATCTTTCAAGTACAATAAAAATAAATCACTTGTCTCTTTGCCTTAGTTTTGCTGATTTGATCTTACTGCTGTCCGTGCCATTGTTTGTGTGCAAGTCCAATTTGTTTATTGTTCCCTTATCTGCTCCAGTATTTGAAGTCAACTGTTTTCCCTTGCCATCTCCCCTTCCCCCCATAAGATGAAGCAGACCTGGCACTTATGTCATCACTCTTCCTGCCAACACCCCAAAATGACAGCCAGCTAGAATTGCTTTGCTGGGTAGGTGTGATGGTGTAGCAAGTTAAGCGTCCACGTGCAGTGCCAGCATCCCCTATTGGAGCGACAGTTCTAATGCTGGCTGCTCCACTTGCAGTCCAGCACCGTGCTGATCCACCTGGGAAAGCAGAACATGGCCCAAATGCTTGTTGCTTTAGCCCGATCAAGCCCTGGCCACTGAGGCCCTCTGGGGAACAAGCCAGGGGATGAAAGATGGTCTCTGATCTCTGTAACCCCACCTTCCAAGTAAATAAAGAGTGAATCTTTCAACAAATAAGGAAATGCTTTCTTCATGTGCTCTCCGGGCTCTGTTTTAGGACGCCCACACTGGGCCTTAGAAGGCCAGGTAGAGGGCAGAGGGGGTCTCGGGGACCCCTGTCATCTGCCCGGCTTCTCTGCTGCATCACCTCCTGTCCTAAGGTCGTGTGTGCCCGCAGGCTCATGCCCTGAGCCTTCTCCAAATATTTGGCACAGCCTCACCTGTCTTACACTGCCTGAGGGTGGGTGGGCCGGCTGCCTGGCTGCTCACAGGGCTCTGCGGTCCTTGCAGGGCCTGGCTGTTTTTGCACATTCCCCACTTGTCACCTGCATGCTGTTGTTTCTTGGTTATGTGCGCGTCAGCTTGTCTTCCTGGCAGGAAGCTTTGCAGATTCTCTCTTTGACCTTGGAGCCCAAGGTGTGCCAAGATTGGTCAACCCTCCCATGAACGTGGGCTGATCTTACTTTGTGCTGACCCAGGCTTCTCTTGTGGGAGACAGGCTTACTAAGGTGGCTCCTGCTCGTCAGTTTCCTGTGACTTGCCTGTTGGGTCTTCCAAGTCTCCTGTCTCTTTCCTGTGGTTTTCATCTCCATTGCTGTGTTGCTTGCATGGTGGGAAATGGTTCTCTGGCTCTATCTTTCTTGTGAGTCTTACGGGAACCTTGCGCACGTTTTCCATATATTGAGGCTTTAAAAAAAAAAAACAACTTAAAGTGTTTACTTGCTTTTTTGATTGGAAGGAAAGAGACACAGGAAGCCCTTCCATCTGCTGGTTCACTCCCCAAAAGCCCATAACAGCCAGAGCTGGACCCAGACAAAGCTAGGAGCTGGGGGCCCAATCCAGGTCTCCCATGTGGGTGGCATGGCCCCAAGTACTTGAGCCAGAGAGCACGCTAGCAGGAAGTTGGGTCTTGAACCCCAAGGGCTGTGATGCGGGATGCTGGCATTTCAAGTGATGTCCTTAACTGCTGTGCCAAAAGCCTGCTCCCCTGTTGGCACCATTACTCTGATTCTTTGCTGGCCCTCAGGCCCGGCTGGCTGGAAGTCAGCCATGCTGCATTCTACCCTCGGAGTGGCAGTTGAACCAGGATTCAGGGCCAGGCCTCCCCGAACACCATCCCTGCCCCCAGCTCCCTGTGCCTGCCCAGGGCTTGGCACCTGCCACGGACAGGGAGCTGGCTATTTGAGGGGCTGGTGGGCAACCACGTCAGCGAGGGTGCTGCTCTCCCTTGCCCTCTCTCCTTCTGCTGTTTATTTCTGAATTTTCTCTCCAGTGATCCCTTACTTAGATCTTGTTCTAATGTCCAGTAAATAGAATGAAAGTGAATAAAGATAGCGGGGTGCTTTTCCACCACAGCCCTGGGAAAGAGGGGGAACTAGTTCTGGGGGCATCTGTGGTGCTCCCGCCTGCGCAGGTGGTGAGGTCAGCCCCGGGCCAGGGCCCTTTTCATTCTGGGAAGAAAGGAAGGACTGCCATTGAGGGGTGGCTGCCAAGTGCTCCAGCCACCTGCCAGGGCTCCAGGCGCTGCCCTCTTATTTTGAAAGGCAAAAAGCCATGGTTTTGTCCTCTTTAACACAAAGCATCCCTTTCCGCCCTTCCCAGATATGCAGAAGAGAAAACAAAACCCAAACCAAGAACTCTTGCATGTCTCCACCCCCCAGGACGGTTTCTCTCACCTGAAGCATGCAGGAGAAGGGGGGCGGGTGAATTTCACAGCAGAGCCACCTGGTCAACCCGCAGTGAAATGATAACAGTATGCTGGGCAAGACTGTGCATCTATTCCTGGCTAATCTAAAGCAATGCTTTCAAGAAATCTCACAAATGATCTGTGGGAAGCCTGAAAGGCAAAATCCTGCAGAACTCTCTGCTGGTTCCTGTCATTTCCTGCGGCTCCCGAGTGTTTTTGCTTCTCCCCTCCGCTCCCCCCATGGATGCTTTCTTCCCCCGGGAAGCTGGGCCACCACCATACAGGTCGCATTCCTCTGCCAGCACTGGCCTGGAACCCTTCGTCTTGCGTTCTCCCCTTCCTGTGTGCTCACTTGTGCACCTGAACGAGTGCACCACTTCTCCCGCGAGGACTGTTGGGCACTGCTGGGGGTGTCTGCATCCCATCTTGGGGGGCCCGTGTTTGACTCACAGCTCCGCTCCAACTCCAGCTTCCTGCTGATGTGCTTCCTCGGGAGGCAGCAGGTGAAAGCTGCCTACCGCCCACGTTAAGAGACCCAAGTTGAGATCTAAGCCTCGTGGATTGGCCCTGCCCCAGTTATTATGGGCATTTGGACAATGACCCAGTCTATGAGAGCTCTCTCTCTCTCTGTTGTCTCTTCAATAAATTAAAGAAGAGAAGGAGGAGAAATGAAAATCTGTTCATCTGCAGCAGGCTGATTTTTAAGTTGATGATTCTGCATGGTTTTTGGATGATGCTATAGACATCCTGGTGGCTTTTGGCAAACTACAGGTCCCTACCGCTGTGCCCATGTGGCCATGGGAGCTGATGGGCGAGCTGGATCGGAAGCGACAAACAGCCAGGGCTCAAACTGGGTGTGCCTGTAGGATGCCAGCATTACAGGTGGCAACTTGATCACTGTACAACACCAGCCCCTAGCCTGTCTTCTGGTTAGTTCTGCCTTCCTGCCAGTATTGGAAGTGCCCTGGTATCTATGGAAGGAAGACACAACACTCAACAGGAGAACTCAGATTCTTGCCTTTGGAAGCCCCAAATACCTGATTTGACCTGGAAAACCCTGGAAAACCAGGGACTTAGGCGGAGGCTTAGAGAGCTGTCGCATCGTGGGGCCGGATACCTCTGAGATGGAGCTTTCTTTAGGATTCTCCAGTGCCAGGGCCACCCACCCAGTATGCCCACCAGTCCAGAATGCACAGATTCAGTTAGTCATGGATGGAAAACACTTAAGAGGAAAAAAAAAAAAAAACTGGCGTCTTCCCTAAAGGTGCTTGAGCTTCCCCCACTTCTTTGCCCTCAATAACATCCCTGTAACATTCACATGGGACTATTTAAAGCATATGCAAGGGCACCCGTCGGCTATACACAAACACTGCCCCACTCTGTGTGTAAGGGACTGCAGCGTTTCTGAGAATGCTGAATGTTCTGCAGGGTTTTGGGAGCCACTCGCCTCCCTGGGTGCTGGGGGCCAACTGCCCCCTCTCCAACTCTGGTGTTCTGGGGGGCTTCAGGTGCTCAATCAATCACAGAGTTCAGCAGGCTCCCCGCTGTGGCAGCCTGCGTCTCCTGGTCATGCCCTCAGCATCCGTCACGCAGGTGCCTGATGGGTCAGGGGCCCTCGGGGCTTGCCTGCGAGAGGATGGACGCGGCAGTTACTCCTACTGCAGCTGAAAGGCCGCGTAGCCACTGATGGTCTCCGTGTCTCTTACAGGAGGATTGGAGGCCAGGCCTTGGAGTCGAGGCACCTACACCAGGAGCACCAGCGTGAAGACGCCTGCCGCCTCCCGGACCAAGCACGGGCCCTTCAAGACCATGCCTCTCCGATGGTCCTTCGGGCAGAGAGAGAAGCGAGCAGGGACCTCAGCTGAGCTGGTCGAGTACCTGGAGTCCAGACGCCGGCCTCGGTCCACCAGCCAGTCCATCGTGCCGCTGCTAACTGGCGCTGCTGGCGGGGACGAGAAGTCAGCCTCGCCCCGATCCAATGGCACCCTTTCTGTCGAAGCCAGCGAGAAGGGTCTGCCCCTGGTGCCCTGTCCCCCGGGTCATCCCTGTCCAGATCCAATCCCTGCCAACACAGCAAGGAGACTAAAGGAGAACGTGAGTCAGGACATTAGACTCCCCAGAAAGTTTGATCTGCCGCTCCCCGTCATGCCCTCCATGGAGACGGAGAGACCGGCCAGGCCCGAGGGCCAGAGGAGCGCCAACTGGAAGGGGAGTGGCCACATGCGGAGCCACAGTAGCCCTTCCTCTCCCTCTGGGACACTGTCCCGAAACAGCAGGGATCCCACTGCCAAAGCCAGGGCGACTGCCACGGGGGACTCGGAGCGGGATAGAGTCCCTCAGGGGACACTCACCCTACTGAGGTCTGTGTTTTGGAAGAAGGAGACGAGGAAGATGCACAAAGAAGAGGGCTCCCCGCCCCCAGGGAGTGGCAGGCTGAGCCCCGCCACTGCCACCCTGGATCAGCAGGCTGGAGGCTCGTCCCCTGCCCTCAGGGTCCAGGAGAGCCTAGCCAGGGACGTCCAGTCTGCGCCCAGCTCACTCCACCTCCCTCGCAAGACCAGCAGGCCTCCCGTGAGAGGTGGCGCCCTGGGTGTGGCACACAGGCTTGTCCCTGGGGAGCAGACCCCCTGTGGCACCTTGCAGAAGGTCAAGTATCACACCCTTTCCTTAGGGCGGAAGAAGACCTTGCCCGAGTCCAGCTTCTGATGGCAGTTGCTATGTTTTCCCTGAAGCTGGCTGCCTTGGGCCTGGGCATGCGGCAGGTGTAGCAGCCCTTATTGTGGGTGGATTTTCAGGAAGCCAGCTGTCTTGTGATCCCTGGGGGGCGGGGGGTGAACAAAACTTTTTTTGATCTCAGATACTCAGACTTGCAAACACCTGATGTCCAAATCAACCAATGTCGGTATACTTTCCTGTATTACTGGGTGCTTTGATAACAGTCTGGCCACTAGGGGGTAGCATTGGGTCAGCATTCCCATATCTTGGCCAGAATTGATGTTTTGTTGAAGTGATTCCTGGGCCAGCGTTAACTGTACTGAACAAAGATTTGTGTGCTGGCAAACCTTAGGGCGTAGCTCTTAAAGCGAGCCTAGTTAATAAGAATCTTCCACGTCATGTCAAATATTGATATAGACTAATAATCTTTTGTTTTTAGTGGTGGACTCAGAAGGGAAATCTTTTCCTTCAAATGTTCCTCTGGGACTTTAAAGATGCCAAAGAGAGAGAGAGAGAGAGGAGTGAAAGAGTAATCATGATGAAAAGACAAGAGAGGCAGAGAAAAGGGAGAGAGTTGGAAAAATGATGGAGATTTTAGAAGAGAATTTAATATATAACCTTATTAAAGTTTTTTCGAGGTATTTTAAAAAGATAACTATTTTGATACTTAAGGGGGGGGAAGGTGTTTTGTTTTTTTTATTTAAGTATGGAATCTGTGTATAATTTTAATAAAGTCCTGGGAGTGAAACACGTGCTTGGGTGTCTTGAGTGATCGCTGTGGCCAAAGGAACTAGTTGCAGTTCTGCTGTGTGAACTTGGCTGATGGCCGTAGCGGTGAGCCAGCTGTGCGCGCCGAGGCGTCCCAGCTTCCTTCTGTGTTGGCATGGTCTGATGTCGGACAGCCAGCCTCCGGAGGCAGAAGGGGCCCAGAGACCCGAGGAGGAAGCGAACAGGTGCAGGATCGCACAAAGCATGATTTCCTGGGAGGACTTGGCCAGGACAGAAGTTTGTTTTTGTCTCTCTCGCTTTCTTTTTTTAAGCAGTTTGGTCTGTGAGACAGTGGGTCCATGTGCCACAAGGCAGGAAGAAAAGTGTTCTCCAGTCCAGGCCGAGTAAATGGAAGAGAACTGGACTTCTCAAGAAATACATTCATAAGAGACCACGAACCAGTTTGCCCCAGCACAGGGTTTGTGTTGCCCTCTAGTACTGCCTACAGGGCACCTGAGCTGTGCCATCTGAGCTGGCAGTATATCCAGGATGGCTGCTCTGCCTCCAGCTGAATTACGTATTGTGTTCTATTCATTTCTTATTTTGTTATTAGTTATTTTTTTTGAAAGGCAGAGAGACAAAGATCTTCCATCTGTGGGTTCATTCCCCAAATGGCCACAACAGCTGGAGCTGAGCTCATCCAAAGTGAAGAGCCAAGAACGTCTTTCGAGTCTCCCCTGTGGGTGCATTTGTCCAAGTACTTGGGCCATCCTCCACTCCTTTCCCAGGACACAAGCAGTGCCCATATGGCATGCTGGCACTTGAAGGTGGAGGATTAGCTTGTTGAGAGCCACGCACTAGCCCCCAGGTGTGTGTTCTAAAGAACTCTTTGCATTTGCAAGGATCTGCGCCTTGGGGCCTGCCTTCATGCACTGTCCGTTGACCGTCCTCTGGCGGGAGCATTTCCTTGTCATTGCCCATTTTCTATCAACTTCCCTGCTGGTGGGATCACGTGTTCAAGGCCTGACCCCAAGAACTAAGCCTTTGCACACACAGAACAGGACTGCTTGGGCAATAAAAAAGGACGGTCTGACCAGTGATGAGAAGCTAGAAGGAACTGAGTTTCATAAGGCAGAGGACCCAGTCTCCTGAGCCCAGAGGATGCTGGACACGTGTGCTGGTGTCTCAGGAGTCTCTCAGCTGTATGGCAGACGCAGCGGCCCAGCTCTTCTGACGACTCTCTGTATGCATGAGTTTTGAAAAAAAAAATTTCTCCCCAAGTAAATTCATCTCTTAGAACTGAGAATATTTTGTTGTGAACTTGTGGGAGTACCCTGATGTTCTTTGTTCTGGTCCTGGCTAGGGGAACAGGGTACCTGCGAGGTTGAACTTTGTCCCTGCTTGCTGGCGCTCTCAGGAATCCAGTCTACTTCATTTTCAGCAGTACATTCAGAGCCACGTGCCAGGTCCAGGCTCTTGGCCTTGAACCAATGTCTCACTTCTGCATCCGTGTTGGGCATTGTCTCATCTGTGTGTGCATCTGCTCAAAGGGCAAGTAAGACTTTAGACTAAACCATAGTGGAAACGGACAAAGGAAGGGGCAAATGTAAGCCAGCGTGTAAAGGCTCCTGTTAGAAGAGCAAGTAAAAGGCATGACTTTCATTGACCAAATTGTTAGGTTTTCACGCGATGAGCCAGTACACACCTGGGTCCTGCTGAAGGGCATGCGGGAGAGAGTTCATGGCTGGGTGGGCAGTCAGCACAGCCCACCAGGGTCCATCACTCCTCTGCCGGTTCGCTTTGTTTTGCCTAAGTGCTGCTCACTCTCCCAGCCCTCACTCGCCCTTTGAGCCTCTCCCTCCGAGTTCAGATCCAGCCGTCATCACAGGGCCTGCACGTTGGCAGGATATCATGGTCAGCCTCTGTCTAACCGGCTTTCTATTTTCATTTCTAGGAACATGGTGAGCCGCTGGGAGGGAGTCTGGATAAGCAGGAGGGGCTTGGCCACACTGCTGGGCGCAGGGCCGACTCTGAAGGGCAGAGGGGTGAAACGCGGTGACTGAGCTCCTAGGAGGTGGTGGTGGAGTCCCCAGAGAGATGTGGCTCTTCCTGTGTTTTGGAGTCCAGTCACATTTTTAACTGGATTGAAATGCTTAGCAGCTTCGAATGCATGTGCAGCGCACTCAGCTGGCCTGGCATCGTCATGGGGGTGATGCTATAGACAGAAGAAGGGTGTGGGATGCTTCGGTATACTCCAGGCCAGAACTTTGCTAACCCCTGGACATCTACCAGGAGCCTGGGCTGAGGTAGAGCTGGGCCCCTTTCTGATGGGTGGAACTCCAAGAGAGGCCATTTCCCAACAACCCTGCAGGCCAGGACAGGGCATGGGCACACAGGGTCCTTCCCTCACCCTGCTACCGGCCCGATGCCCTGGGTCACTGCTCGCTGAATGTAACTGGGAAATGAGGGCTTCTTCGCCAAGACGCCCCGGGGATGAGTCACTCTCTAGCTCTAGGAGGGCTGCTCAGCATGAGTCATTTGGGCTGTCCTGCCTCATCAGGAGGTGTCTGCGGTAGCCATGTCCTGGGGAGGACAACAGGGGGTCATGGGTAATCTCCAGTGCCAAAAACCCACAAGGCTGGTCCATCCCACAGTGCCAGGACCCACCCCCAGCAAAGAACTGTCCAGCCCTAACGTCACTCGTTCCAGAGCTGAACACACGTGTGTACACTTGGCTTCATGTCTTTCCTAATTTACTGGCTTTTTTTTTTTAAATCAGTATTTTCCCTTAAAAATAAATCACGGGCCTGGCACAATGGCTCAATGGGTAAATCTCAGCTTGCAAGCAGCAGGATCCCATATGGGCACTGGGTCATGTCCTAGCTACTGCACTTCCATTCAGCTCCCTGCTTACGGCCTGGAGTCACAGTGGAGAATGGCCCAAGGCCCTGGGACCCTGCACCTGCATGGGAGACTAGAAGAAGCTCCTGGCTTCTGGCTTCGGATTGGCTCAGCTCTGGCTGTTGTGGCTGCTTGGGGAGTGAACCAGCAGACACAAGATCCCTCTCTGTCTCTCCTTCTCTCCATAAATCTGATCTGCCTGGCTCAGAAGCGCAGCAGTCAAGACTTTAACCGGTGCTCCAGTATGGGATGCTGTGTCATCAGCAGTGGCTTAACCCTCTGGGTCGGAATGTTGGCCCGGAAACAGTATTTTTATGATAGAAGGCACTTCCTGAAGATGAGTAGTGTCCTGTGTGAAGGTTTCAGGGCAACTTCAAGAACAGGAGCCTGTTCTCAGCGGGCATACAGCACCGTGAGCCTGCTTCCGAGCTGTGGCACTCAGGTTTCCATCACAGAGCTCCCTGTCTGTCTTTCTGCCGAAAGCCTCGGGAATTGGTGAGACCCAGAGGCCTAGGGGGGAGGCTGGTACCCCCTCTGTGTTTACCTGAAAGCATCAAAGTGAGTTACAGGAGAGGGGAGTTATAGAGAGGGCTGGTCTCAAATTGGACAAGCCTCCCACACAGCCTTGTACACACACACAGAGGTCATCCCATGTTCTTGACTCAGAGGGCCTGGGTAAAAGCTCGCGTTCCTGACAAGGTCCATATACAAGGATCCCTGGGGTCTCAAGTCCAGCCAGACTGGATAGCAGGGATGGAGTTCGGACTCCCTGCCCTGCCCTGGCCCAGCCCTCGCTGTTGCAGGCATTTAGGGATGTGGACCAAGCAAGTGGAAGAGTTCCGTCTCTTCCAAATCAACAAATAAATAAAACAAGTGGATGGAAGACCTCACTTTTTCTCCTTCTCTTTGTAACTCTACCTTTAAGAATAAACATCTCTGTAGCATCTGGGCCATGGTAGGTAATTACGCAGGCCTGTTAAAATGAGTGCATTAATCAAAGCTATTCTTAGGGAAGCGTCGAGTGAGTGTCGTCACTGTTTGGGCTGATGGCCAAAGAAGAACTTTGGTTATGTGTTCATGCCGCTGCAGGGGAGGGGAAAGAAATAGTGATAAAATGGGGTTGGAGCCACACTGACATCTGGTGGCCATTTCTTACATTGCAGGGCATGTTCCTTAACATGTTTTCCCTGGGTTTCCCTGCAAGGCTGTGCGTGTTTTCAATTCTAGATGAGATATTCCATCTTGAAAGGACAACGGGCCTGAGGAAAAGAATGATAAAGAGCATCCAGACAGGGGTATACCACAGTCCAGGGACAGGAAATATGGCTGGGGCTCCGGGGTGCCCAGGAGCGCCTGCTGCATTCTGATGCTCTCTGCCAGCCCTGCTCACATGGGAGAGTCCTGCTCCTCGTGGACTCTCCTGGGCAGCCCCTGGGGTCTGGCGTCCTCCAGCCTTGGAGTCTGCCCTCTCCCAGGATGTGGCTCTGTTAGCGTGGAAGCTTCCAGGAGCTGTTTCCTTCCTCAGGTCAATGACCTTCATATTGCCACGCACTTGCAACCAGGCAGGTAAGGAGACCGTGGCTTGGAGCTGGGCCATGATCAAAGTCCCCCTGGAGCTGGGCTCTGCTGAGTCTGCAGGACTGGTGCCTGAGAAGCCTGGCTCCAACCCCTCCTGTCCCTGTCCCAAAGCTTGCATCTGGCCCTCCAGCCACCAGCTGGGTGTCACCCACTCTCCTCCTGCTGCTGCTGCTGCTGCTGCTGGGGCCCCACCAGCCCTGGTTTCATTTCTGATGTGCCTGAGCTGCTCCTGCATCCTGCAGCCATTGGTCTGGTCTTCTTGGATGGTGGAATGCGTCTGGCCTAATTGTAAAGCTATGCTTGCTGGGAGTCCGACAGAGTGTGGATTGGTTTCCCTGTTGTGGCCTGACCTAGGGGTCTCCAGAAATGGCCTCAGATCTGAGCACCGCGTTAGGGCCCCTCTCATGCCCAAGATAGAGAGAGTCTCTTTACTGCCCAGGGCCCGCCCCAGCTGCTGCTCAGTGCCCATGTCCTGGTGCTGGGAGTGCGCTGGGCTCCGGGCTGAGCCTCGGGTCCTGGGCAGGCTCCTGCTTCAGTGGAGGTTTATCTTTGTGCAGATGTGCACCTGTTGAATACCAAACTCACAAATGACTTGGCTTCAGAGTGACCTTAAGGTCGGAGTCAGCAGTTTGTGTCTACACAGACACACATACCCCACATCTTCCAAGTGCCCAAGAGGCAGGTATTCGTCTATATGAAGAAAATTAAAAGTGGCTGACTCCCCAGCAGGTGTGAGAACAAAGGCCGTGGGTTTAAGCGCACGTGTAGCTCAGAGGAGGAGGTAGACAGCTGGGAGTTGCTGGATGCCTGAGCCCAGATGCTCTTAGCATTTGCTGCACCTGCAGAATCGACCATGAATCAGAAAAGCCCCTCCAGCTATGCCTGGGCCCAGCTCTAGCTGAGAGAATCAGCCTCTGGGACAAAGACTGCCAGGCAGGGGTGTTAGGCACACAGCTCTGCGGGATACGGGGTGAGGGAGCCACTAGGATGCAGGAATGTGTCATTTAGACTCAAATAAGAGATGGCTAAATAAATAATAATTAATTATACATGAATAGTTAGCCTATAGTGTTTGCCATGACTGTTAAGGGTATGTTTCTGAGCACAATCACATTGATATGGTACTATACTAACATGCAATGCACTTTCATATGACTCCCATGTAGCAAATATCATTAATATGCACAAATTATAATACTCGAGTGTGGACCATTTGTGATGACTCATAGCAGTTTCAAACATTAGTAATTATCATTGTTTAAGTGCAATGAAAACAAAAGTTTCAATATCTCAGTTCTCACAGCCCAGGATGGCTGGCGGCTGCCATACTGGACAAGGCAGGTGGGAATGGACCACCCCTAGGACACCTGGAAAGTGTCTGAGAGACACACCTGCTGAGACCTGCCTGAGGAGTGCGCACCCATTCCACCAGGTCGATGCTTCACTCAGCCCCCTGAATTACTCTGTGTTCCGTTTCTACCTTACCTGTACCCAGAAATGCCCCCCTTATAACTAGCCAGAAGTCCTCCTCTCAGCAGCTCCTTCTCCTGCCGGGCCCCTCCCCATCTCTGAAGGTGCTGGCAGCCAGTCACCTCCTAAGGAAAGTCACCTGCAAACTCCTTGCCTACAGCTTACTTCCCTGGCCAAGCCAACGTACACTCACCCGTGCAATAGGGCGATGCTGAATGGCCATCACCGCCTTTGGAACCCAGACTCGATAATGTCAAGGTCATTTTGTCTCCTAGGCCTGGGTTGCCTGTATTCTGCCCCCGAAGAAACCTCAGAAGAATGTTTTCATGGATCCTGTTTAATTCCATCAACACAGGTTACCGGATGCTCCCGTCCTTGGGGTCTGCACTGGGCCACACCAGCATCCCTTTGTGGATGCTGTTTCCAGTCTTGGCTGCTCCATTTACCATCCAGTTTCCTGGGAAAGCAGTGGAAGATGCTTGGGTTTCTGCTACACATGTGGGAGACCCAAATGGGGCTCCTGGCTCTTGACATCAGCTGCCCTGAGCCCTGGCCATTGAGGCCATTTGCGGGGCGAACCAGTGGATGGAAGACTCTCTGGCTGTCTTTCAAATATACATATATATATTTCAGCTTCCATCCTTTCCATGGCTGGCCAGTGACCTAGGCAAATCGAAGTAGTTTTCTGAATGAGCAGTGTGGTGTGTGTACATGTTTGTGTTTTTACATGTTCACATGTGGGACGTCTATTTCTCCCTGCAGACTCACACTACCCAGCCAAGAAACTTCTGGAAGGTGTGCCCGGTCCATGCTGAGCGGGAGACACCTACGGCAGCCGCCCGTGGAGGCAAAGACGAGAGAACGCTGCTGCTGAGCATGCCCTTTATTGTGGCCCAGGGTCGCCCCACGCCGCCGCAGTCAGCCCTCCTCGGGGACAGTGAGCTTCTCCTTGACCCCACAGGCCACCACAGCGAAGAAGAACTCGGGGAAGAAGGTGCGGATGTACACGGCCACCTTGGGGATGGGGTTGGCCAGCAGCACCTCCTGCTTCTTCCGCCGCACCGTGCGCATCACCTCCTCCGCCACGTCCTCCGGGTGCACACCGTAGGTTAGCTTCCTGGAAAAGACTGGACAGACGGAAGGGGAGGTGGCATGCAGCAGCGAGGGGGGTAGAGGGGAGCCTGTGGCCGCAGCTGGCCACGGGCAGACACTCCATCCCTCGGCAGGTCTCCCTCATCTACAGCCCGGGGCCCCCTTTCCTTCTTGGTAGGGCGGTTAGGAGTGGGAAGGTGCCGGATGCCAGGTAATGCATCATTGTGAAAGCTGTAATCGTCCACCACACTCACTGGCTGCCTCCCAGCTGGGCTCCCCAGGGTAGCCATGTTAACCCTGACCTTCAGAGGATGCTCTGATAGCAAGTACTTGTGTGGAGCACTCTCTGGGCGCTGGTGGGTGTTCCTAACCCTGTCTGAGCTGGGACCTTGAGCTCTTCCCAGGAACTCTGAGGAGGCGTGCATTACTGGCATGCCCCATCTTCTGACAGGGAAACTGAGGCAAGGAGTGAGCAAAGATGAGGATCACCCTGTATCATCATCTGGCGTTTGGTAGAGGCAAGCTTTGGGATGTGGGGTTGCTGCTTTCTTGAGAAGAGGGTTCAGGAGGCTTCTTTAAGACCAAGTCCTGGCTGCCAAGTCCCAGCTAAGGAAACAGACCCAGAGACCTCCCTCCCTCCACCCCCAGGCCCTTGGTGAGGGTTCGTGGGTGCCCAGGGACCCAGTTCAGGGACAGGTTGCAGGTGGTGCGATTCTGGTTCTCGCCTGGATTCGAGCCTCTAGCCTTGCTGAAGCCCGCTGCCTGGGGGTCCCTGTTATCGCACAGCCCCACCCTGGCCTCCCTCCACTGAAAGCTCACATTTCCAAAGGGAGGCCTCCCAGTTCCCAGGCTTGGGATGGAGGCGATAGGAGCGGATGTAAGTGGGGCTCACGGTGCTGACCACGACGTCGTATTCCTCAACCTCGGCACGAAGGCAATCGAAGAATCCCAGGGCGGCGTGCTTGGAGGCAGCATCTGTGAGAACAAGACTGTCAGCAGACTCCAAAAGCAGGAGACACACATGATGAGAAAAAGGCCCTGTCTGCCGGGGGCCTGAGCATACATGTTAACTCACAAATGAGGCCCAAAGACAGCAGCAAGTTACAGCGGGATGTGATCCGTCAGCCGAAAGGAAAGTTGGGAAGGTGGTCCTTTCTCAAAACGCCTTAGCATCCTTTCCCGTTTTCACCCAAAAGCAGCACTTTGTGGCTTCTCTTTGGCATATCCAAACTGCCAACATCACAGCGAAAGTGCCACCGTGAAGATAAGGGCTCCTCCCAAAGAAGCATGGTTGAGTGAATAGCTAAGACATTCGTGTGGGGACTGTGTACCCCAATTCCTCCAGTGCAGAGGTGCCAGACCACAGCTGATGGAGAGGGGGTTGAGGTGCAGCCTCCTTGGGGGGCCTAGTGCTTGGTGCCATGTTGAGGACTTATTCCAAGGAAATCGGTGGCTCTGTCCTCTATGGGTCGGATGCCACAGGACCCACGGCAGTTGCTCACACCTCACCGTGTGACCAACACTTGACATTCCACTTGCCTGTTCAGTGAACAAAAGCAGGGGGGCCTGGAAAGTGAAGAGTCATCCAGCTCCCAAAAATAATGTGTATGGAAAGTTTTAAAATAGAAGGGATGGTAGGGGGTTCCTGGTAGACTGGGGATGAGGGGAGATGGGTAACGTGGCCAGGACTGCTAGGTTCAGGCCAAGTTCTGTTCTTCCCTTTCTTCCTGAGCTGAAGCTGGACTGCACTTCCCAGCATCCTTTGCAGCAAACAGTGATGAATCTCCTCCGAACAGGATGTGAGCTGGCACAATTTGGGGCTGCCTGTGTAGATTGAGGCTTGAGTTGGTCAGCCTCTTCTGTCTCCTTGCCAGCCAGAACCCGGAACAAGAGGGGAGGCCACCTTGGAGCCCTCATGGAGTCAGATGAAGTCAGGGCAATGACGTGGCTTGACTCGGGCCTCTCAATGACAAGAGGCACTGTGACACCCCCTGAGCCGAGCCATCCTGGTTAGTACAGGTACAGGAAGGAATGACACCATTTCCTCATTCTGTCACGTTCTTAAAGCAACATAAGTTTTAACTAACTCATGCAGATCAAAAAGGAAATACTTGTATTCGAATGAGTTGCACCTGCCCCTTGTCTTTTTATCAAAGTCCTTATTCTCAGTGTGACCCTATTTGGAGACAGGGTCTTGGAAAAAGTGATTGCAATGAAAGGACTGCAAGGAGGTCATTAGCTTAGCATGGACCCTAATCCAATCTCTTAAATGTCCATTCAGGAAGAGGGAATGTTCACAGAGAGAGAGAGAGAGAGAGAAACCAAGCAGGGACACAACAAGACGTGGGCTGTCTACAAGGGACTTTGGAAGAAGCCAACTCTGCTGCCAGCTTGGCCGTGAACTTCAGCCTATAGATGGTGAGAAAGAACCATCCCTCTCCCACAGGGTACGTGCCCATTTTTCTTCCCTTCCTTCTTCCCACCCTTCTCTCCATCAAACATTTTCTGAGCTTCTGTTTTGCACCGTGATCTATAATGCAGTGCATTCAACAAACTTCCTGCCTGCCCACCCAGAACCTACTGCATGGGAGGTCTCCAGAATTCCTGCCCCCCCGCCACCCATTGGATCCCTTGAGCCCAAAATCTCTCTCCTCCTTGGACTGTTTAAAGGATGTTCAGCTTTGCAGCTCTGGCTCCCCTGGAATTTTCCGTTCTGCTTTCCCCTTTCTGCATGCTGCAACATCTCCAGTCCTCTCCCATTTTGCAATGCACACGCGTCCTCTCTCCCAAGTGTAATCTTTTCTGCCCCTCAAGTGTGTGTTTGGAAGGAGCATTCTAGCCGGGGTTGTGCTTCTGGGTTAGGAACATAACCTGCATCTGACACTGATGTATTCAACCAGTGCACATCCTGCCCACCTGCAGGCCTGAGGGCTTGGGAGCACAAGGGGCCCTAGCATGTCTCAGCCCCTCGCTCTGTGACTTGCACACCATGTAGGTGCTCGAAAGACTGAAGGTGTGAATGCAAAACCCAGCAGCTCATCTCCCGATGCCCTCCTTCCTTGGGGTTGTGTGCTCCATCATAGACCTGGCCACTCCTGTCTTAGCACGCAAGTCATGCAGCACGAGCTGTAGCACTATTGTCTTGGCAACTTACAGGCTGTGCGGAACGGAATTCCGAATTTCCCCTGGATGTTGTTCACTAACACAATCTGGCCTGTTCTGCGGGAGATCATGTTGGGAAGCAGAACTAGAAAACACAATGAATCATGGTTAGGAAGCTGAGACCAAGTCAGGCAGTAGTGGGCAGACCGTTTCCCCACCAGGCCTGCTATCACATGGCTTCATCTGGATGAGACTGCGGCAGGGCAGTTGTGGGGCGAGACCCCAGGTCACTGAACCCAGCACACTCAAGGAGTAGGCTGGGCTCTGCTGCCACATGGCTGGGTGTTTTCATTTATTTTAAAATTCGATGCACTTATTGAAGAAGCAGAGATTGAGAGTGCAGTCCTGTCCCCTTGTTCATTTCTGCCACACTAGCCAAGCCAAAGCTGGGAACCGGGAATTCCATTAAAAGTTTCCCACAGGGAAGAGAGGAATTCAAGTACTTGATTCACCGATTGAGTCAGGGTCTGGAGTAGCAGGAACTAGAGTCAAGAGCTGGGCTTAGGTATTAAAAACCAGGGTACTGGGGCCAGACCTGGGGCTCAACTGACTAATCCTTTATCTCCAAGTGCTAGAATCCCAAATGGACACAATTTGTGTCCCAGGTGCTCCAATTCCCATTCAGCTCCCTACATATGGCCTGGGAAAATAGCATAAGATGGCCTAGGGGACCCGGCATGGCAGCCTAGTGGCTAAAGTCCTTGCCATGCACGCACCAGGATCCTATATGGCCGCCAGTTCATGTCCTGGCAGCCCTGCTTCCCATCCAGCTCCCTGCTCATGGCCTGGGAAAGCAGTCAAAGACGGCCCAAAGCTTTGAGACCCTACATCTATGTGGGAGCATGGGAGACCTGGGAGAAGCTGCTGGCTCCTGGCTCCTGGCTCCTGGCTTCGGATTGGCTCATCTCCAGCTGTTGTGACCCCTTGGGAAGTGAATCAGCGGATGGAAGATCTTTCTGTCTCTCTTCCTCTCTGTATGTCTGACTTTCCAATAAAAATAAATAGATAAATAAATAAATAAATAAATCTTTAAAAATATATGTGTATATGTATGTATGTATAAAGATGGCCCAGGGCCTTGGGATCCCGCACCCACATGGGAGACCTGGAAGAAACTCCTGGCTTCAGAACACTTTAGTTCCAACCATTGTGGCCATTTGGGGAGTGAATCAATGGATGGAAGATCTTTTTCTCTGTCTCTCCTTCTCTGTAAAGCTGCCTTTCCAAAATAAATAAATAAATAATAAATAAGTCTTAAAGAAAAAAAAAGGAAAAATAATGAACAGAAAAGAACAGCAAGCTGAGGCACTCTGACACACAACGTGCGTGTCTGAACCGCTGTGCTGAACACCTGCCCCCTGGGTGATTGTAGATGACTCTGTTATGTGTGTGACATGACACTGATTTGACAGTAGGAAAGGTATTTCCTTTTCGGTTCTATTTTCTCCGGGAGGAAGTCTCATGTGCGTTCTGGGATTTCTTTCACTGGGAGAGGAGAAGTTGGGCTTTTTCAGGCTGCCTGGAACTGACTGAGCATGAAAGGCATTTTGAATGTCTGTTGGGATTATACACCTTTCTTCCTGAGATGTAGTTAATGTGAAAATGAAGAAAGCTGGAGCAAGACATCAGAATTCAGGTGGAGTGGAGGCAGGGCAAAAAGGGAAAGAGTACTTTGAAAGCTCAACTTTCAGAGTGGGCAGTTGAGTTCCAGGTGCTTTGTGTTACAGAGGGGATAAACTGAGGATCAGGACTCTGGTCCCTTAGCAAGGGAGAGGTCTCTGTGGGACGGATCAGGCTTGACCCTTTCCAACCCACTAGTTGTATTCTCCACGCTGGTGCCTGTGCACAGTGCCAGACCAAGCTTGGTGAGTGATGCAGTAATGCCAGACTGCTGGGTGTGGCACAAGGAGTGGCTGGAGGGAACTGCTCTCTTTTGTGCATCACCCAAGACTCAATTTTATGGTCATTGTCAGCCTCATCCTTCTAGTCTCTACTACTATACTTGAACTCAGCAGTTGGGGGAAATCTCCACTATGGAGGTGTCTCCAGGGCGCCCCTACAATCATCCCATCCAGAAGTGATTGCTTCGTTTTTTTCTAGTGAGACTTTCTTCCTTTTCTTGAGTGGGGGAGTGACAGAATTCTGGCTCTCTCGTAATTTGGGGGATACACACATTTACCACTTGTTATCTGAGGACAGAATCTTTCCCTGTGGCAACTGTTATGGTTAGGAGATCATTACAAGGTTGACAAAGCCAAATCCGTGCCAAGGATGCAGACAGTGGCCTGCAGGTGTTGCACAGGAGGGGAGCCATGCATGTGAGTGAGAAGGAAGGGGAGATGGCTTGGGCGAGGGAAGGGAGTTCACAGAGAGGGAATTTGGGCAAGAACCAGTATGATACGAAGGCAGCACAAAAAGTTCGTTAAGAAATAAAATTAAAAGATAAATATTTTAGTGCCTCCAATTTTTGAAATCTGTGCCCGGTTTTTGCATAACACACATCTTCCATGAAATTTTTGGTGCCTGGATAACAGGATTGCTTTTGTACTAAGATAAACTTACCTCTTACTTCCCTTTATTCCAGTAATTTTGGGAAATATATACAACCCTCCTCAACTTCCAGGGAACCCCAGAAATCCAAGGAAACATCAAACTCACAAGACCTTTGGTCAAGGTGATGGGACCGAAATAATTGGCATCCATGATCTTTTTGTCGAGCTCCAAAGAAATCTTATAAGCAGGCCCCTTGACCTTCACACTGGCATTGTTGATGAGGATGTCCACGCAGCCATAGCAATCCAAGACTTCTTTGGCCACATCCTGGACACAGCTGATGTCTGAGAAATCCAAAAGGACCAGCTTTGGGGTGAATGTCTGCAGAACCAATAAAAAGAGAGGGTGGGTTGAGAGAGAGTCAACATGTGTGACCTTTGCCTTGTAGACTCTGGAATTCTTCAGTTGAAGAGTCACCCATTTGGAAATCCAAGGCTCACAGAATAGCTACAACATAAATAAATGGATAAGAGAAGAAGGCAGAATGACTCTGAGATGAAGGAGGTTAGAATCCATTCTTGGGGGCAATGACAACAGCAATAAACCCAGACCTGAATAGGCGAAGTAGTAAGGGCACTTTTGGGGCAGGCTCCAGAACAGACACACGCGCACTGCCCTTTGCAGCAGCATCCTTTGGAGACGGTGCACTGGATTCAGTGGTGACATCATTACTTCTGACCCCTCTGATCTCCATGGAATTTTTTCCTGTAGCCACATTGTACTTTTCGACCAAGATCACAGTCTCAGAAACAGTGCTTTTTGGGATGTCTATGGTGTGCTTGCCAGGCCCTGAGTTCAGCCCTAGACACTGGCTGTCATCTAAGACTGTCTAAGGTTGGGGTCAATCAGTGATACGCTGGGGCAAGCACAGTCCCAGCACTCTGAGACACACCCTTGAAGAGCAAGTTCCTTGGTCCCTTGTGTTTGGAAACAGGCTGTTCTCCCAGATGGTCTAGTGAGTGCTCGTCAGCATAGCAAAGGCTCTGGAAAGTCCTGCAGTAAAGAAAACCAAAGCACTGGCTTTGCATTTCCCAAACACGACCTCGCTTTTACTCAGTACTGAATAATAGCTCAAGAAACATATGTGGAAGAATGAGGTATTGTCCTGTTTGATCTCTCTCCTTAACTAGGAAATTGCTCTGGCTATTTTCAAACACCACATCCAAACTCAAGGGTCAGGATTTATTATTATTATTATTTTTCAGATATCCTAAAGTGAACTCTGAAGGTCGTTAGCTACCCAGTGCTCTGGAAAATGCTAGAACTGAAGTGTTTATTTTCAGGGTTGCTCAGTAGCAAGGCTGACCTCACCCCATGGGTACAAAAAAAAGCTGAAGGAAACGGAATGTTTTTTGGGAGAACATAGGAGTTTTTGTTGCAGCAGAATGTGGAAAGAAATGTGGAAGTGTGTCCCGTGAGCCTGTGGCATCCAATGAGTCTGAGCTAATGGGGCCTGCGCTCTGGTATAGGTGATTAACCCTCTGCCCTCAGCGAAAGCATCCCACAGGGCACAGGTTCATGTCCCAGCTGCTCTGCTTCAGATCCAGTTCCTGTTAGTGAGCCCTGGAAAGCATCTGAAGATGGTCCAAGTCCTTTGACCTCTGCATCCAGGTGGGAGACTCTATTATTGTTATAAATGTTCCATTAGCAATGTATATCTGGGAGAATCTCTGCTTTCTGGATTCTCATTGCTCTTACGTAGAATCAGGGTAAAGGCCAGTGGCCAGAGGACACATTTTTGGTGTTGGTGAGCAGTCAGAGCAAGTCAAGCTCTCAGGACCAATCAGGGGGCCGGACTGTTGCCTCGCTTTGCTCCAGATGAACTGCCACATTCCTCTACTAGGTCCACCACGCACTCCTGCACGATGTGTGGAGGCAGGGCAAGGGTGCCCAGAACCACTCATGCCCCCTGCAGGAGTCCTTACCTTGCTGGGGTCGGCCACACTGACCAAGGCATCATACAGATTCTCCAGCCTCTCCCAGTTCTTCCCGCACAGCACCAGTCTGGCCCCACCCATGTGGAACATTCGAGCACATTCTGTGAGGAAAAAGGAAGAGGAGCAGGGTATATGGTGTGAATGGAGCCACTGATGTGGACTACCCCACTTCCCCACCACCAACAAACACCTTTGATGAACTCAGGAATTGCGAGGGTTGACACCCTTTTCCTGGGGGGAAGCAGCAGTCCTCTGTCGTATCATTCTCATTACACACTTTTCCTCATATCAAACAGAAAGATGACCCCATCCACCTGGCCTTTACAGCCCAGCCTTAGAAAGAGCTCAATCCTGGGACTGGTGTGGTGGCTTAGAGTGTTAACACTCTACATGTAGTACCAATATCCCATATGAATACTGGCTCATTTCCCCACTGCTCCACTTCCCATCTAGACCTCTGTTTGTGGCCTGGGAAAGCAGTGGAAGATGGCCCCAAATCTTGTGCCTCTGTACCTGCCTGGGAGACTCAGAAGAAGCTCCTGGATCCTGGCATTGGATTGGCTCTGTTCCAGCCGTTGCAGCCATTGGGGTCATGAACCAGTGAAAGAAAGAACTCTCTTTATCTCTCCTTCTCTGCGAAACTCTACCTTTCTTTCTTTTTTTTTTTTAAATTTATTTTATTTATTGGAAAGTCAGATATACAGAGAGGAGGAGAGACAGAGAGGAAGATCTTCCATCCGATGATTCACTCCCCAAGTGAGTGCAACAGCCGGTGCTATGCCGATCCGAAGCTGGGAACCTGGAACCAGGAACCTCTTCCGGATCTCCTGTGCGGGTGCAGGGTCCCAAGGCTTTAGGCTGTCCTCGACTGCTTTCCCAGGCCACAGTCAGGGAGCTGGATGGGAAGTGGAGCTTCCGGGATTAGAACCGGTGCCCACATGGGATCCCGGCACGCACAAGGCGAGGACTTTAGCCGCTAGGCCACACTGCCGAGCCCAATTCTACCTTTCAAATAAAAATGAAATAAATCTTAAAAAAGATAGCTCAATCCAAACAGACTGGAAACCATGACTACTTTTTTTTCAGACCAAATGCCACCAATTTCCTCTGTATTTTCCCTGTAGATTAATATGTCAGCCAAGAGCCTTTTAAAATTAATATTTTATTAATAATGAATATTTTATTACTTATACTTTCTTAATAATGAAAATTATATAATTATTCAGATTAGTTATACTCTGGACCAATTTCTGAATCCTCAATACAGGACTTTATCAACTGAGCTGGAGTTTGTGGGCACACAGTATTCCCATGCAACAGTCAGCCTAATGCTTCAAAACAACAAAAGCTCTCATAGATTCAGAGAGTTTACTTATAGTGGGAGTTATTAAAAGAGATTAATGCGTATCAGTTCATTTTTTCCCCCAGGAGCTGGAATCATAGCTCAGACTCCCTGGCAGCAAAGTCTGAGATGAGACCTTGGATGGATCCGTGGAGGGGATATACCTCAGAGGTGAGCTACCAGGGAGGGGGGCCTTACACAGGTGCCTGGCAGGGATGTGATCACAGGTGAAGTCTAGCCCAGGTCCCGCTGCAGAGCTGTCCCACCTGAAGGTGAAGGACGAGCCCTTCGCACACCAGATGCAATCTGCCCCTATCAGGTGTGTGTGTAGACCGCGGAGCCCCTGTGCATGGTGATTTCCATTGGCAGAGGTTAAGTCTCCGGGGAAGAGGGTATGTGTGGAGCCATTAGCAGCCAACACTCACCCAGCTGGAGAGTGGATGAAGTGACCAAGCATGAGGATCTGGTTGGGGAGGGGGCACCAATGGCACTCACTCTGGAGTGGTACCCAACCTAGTCAGACCTCCTGGGGACACAGCAGGTGGGAGTGTGGGTCTTCTGGGTGCTGAGTCAGCTTGTGGGTGTGAGATTTTCCTCCTACAGGTCTCAGTAGCCTGATGCAGGTGGAACCAAGAGAGCCGCTTGGGCAGGATGCTTGTCTTGGGTTTGTTAAGAGGAGCATTGTGGGCAAGGGCAATGGTGGATTTGGAGAAAGAGAGAGGGGCTGGACCATGATATGATGTCTTAGCCATGTCAGGGCACGGGAGAAGGCAGACAGGACCCGTATGGAAGACCAGTAGAGAGTAAGGCATGAGTGTTCTAAGGTATGTGTGGAAATACCTGTGCCGGGTACACCTGGGCAAGCAGGGAGAGAAAGCTGTGGTCAGTGAGCCGACACTGCCCCCAGGGAGGTGCAGTGATAACAAAGTCACCTTGAATGACTAGGAACCACAGAGCATCATGTGTGTCTTAGACATGTGTTGGGGGATAGGCAGGAACGGCAGTTGGACAATAGGTTCTGTTGCAGACACAGTGCACACAAGAGGACATGACCCCCATGTTGGCTGAACTGTGGGTGTGTGTAGGGGAAGTGGGAGGGGGGCGGGAGCAGGGAATAAATGTCCTGATCTTGGTCTGGTTGGTTGTTTTCCCCAGGAAGCGACGTGGTCCTGGCCCCTTGCTGCTGTCAGTGTGGTTTGCCCAGGTGCCACGGTGCCAGGAGTGTGTGCTGTGTGCCGTGCATCACCTGGATTAACATCTGCTGACTTTCCCCTTGCCTTGGACTTGGAAAATGGAGCAGTTGTGAACCACCGTCGTCAGCAGCATGTTGCGGCGAGGCATTTATTTAAGGTCACACATGTCCGGCTTCTCAAGTTACTTTTAAATACTTGTACTTGGACAGTAGTTTTTGTTGCTTTGCATTTCTGTCCAGGGTGGGTCAATGAGCTACAGTAAGACCGTAGTCATGACAGACGAGGCCAGATCCCCCTGGAAATGTCACTACGCTCCTGAGATACAGGAAGACACTCTAAAACGTTCATGGAAATATGGAATTAAAAGGAATTAGTGCAAAAAAAGAGAGAAGTCCATGCATAGATTTTTTCCATAGATTTCTTGGTACATTTGCATAAGCTTCTTGAAGAGTTTTTGGTTTTCAAATAACTTTCACCATAATAGACTTTTAATTCGATTTTCATGAACTTTTTGAAACATGCACATTTTTCCCATAATATGGAAAAAGTCAACAGACTTTTTGAAGACTCTTACTATGCATTGGACTCTGTGCACCAAAATACACTTATCCCGAATTCCAGGGACAGTTTGAAATATGCTCATATTCCCGACTTGTACAATGTATGACTACAACAGAATAAGATTTTAAGAACAAATAAATCAGACCATTAAAACCCATATACACATTTTGGCAACAAAGAGAATCACAATAAGATTTTAAAAATTGGCAAGTGTATGGAAGAGTTGAGAAACTCCTGTGGCCAACAGGAACTGATTCCTCTCCCATTCCCCACAAGGGCAGATCCATGGTCAAGTCAAGCATTCACAGATCTCACACCAAGAGAAATCATATCCCAGGCCATTAAATCTCAACCACTCCTGGAAATCACAGACAGCAAGTTCTTGAACCACACTGGAATCAGGCCAGAAAAATACACAGAGGGTACTTTCCAAAGTTTAGAGGAAATGGATCTAAAGGGTTAAGTTTACTTGTGTGCAAAAAATTTTGAAATTCATGCCTATAAGGGATTCTTGCCAAATACAGGACAACGTGTATTATGACATACTATGCATGGATTTAAGTCATTGAGGGGGTGGGGACACCAGAGCAAACTTTTAAGTTCTCTTTCCTGCAAACTTTTGGAAGTGCTATCATAGATGATAACCTATCAAAAATGAATGCCTTTCCTGACCCAGACAGCAGGCGGCTCATTAGATAGACGTGATCTGGGTTCGCTATCTGCCGAGCTTTGAGCTACATGCTGAGGTCAGCTTGTGAACACATCCTCTGCTCACTTACAGGGAATGGAGCAATAGAGAAACACATGAATACGATACAGAATGAGACTGGTGCCGATGGTAGCATGCATATTCAATGAGGGACAAGGGGACACTCCCTCAGGGAGTATGCCAACAAGGAAGGTGGCAAGGAGGGTTGCAGGGAAAGATTGTAAATATCAAAGCTGTCAAGCCAAGTGGGGTGTGTGGCATGCCGGAATGGGCTTCCTCTGACTAATACGCTCCACACAATGACCACTGGCACTGCACTGGTGCTCGCTGCAGCTGGCCTAAAGACTGCCCATCTACAAATACATCTATTCCTCAGAGTGGCATTAGGAGGTGGCATGAGAAATCCCAGACATAGAAGGAAGGCAGCAGCTAGTGGGTGCGAGGGCAAGAACGAAGCCCAGCTCTGGAGTCTAAGCTCACCACCAGTTCTCTGGTCCAGCTGAGGGCTTTGCATGGCAATGTTTCTGGAAACCCATGGGGCAGTTTTGGCTCTTTGACTCTAAATCTGCAACCCCAGGCATTGCGGTCCTTCTTTGTTTATCGGGCCAGCAAGTGGAGCCTCCCAAGGAGAAGGAACTTGCTGGTTGCTGACAGATGCTAAATGTGAACAAGGGAATTGACCCCTCCTCTCGGCTAACACACACGCCACCACCCTCAGGTGTACCCAGCCATGCTCACATAGGAGCACGAAGCCAGCTTACCCTTGCCCAGTTCTGAGATGGCATCGGAGATCACTACCACTTTGTTCTGCACGGCGGACTTGGACCAGAGTTTGGACACCTCCTGATAGATGAAGAGGACGCCGCTGATTCCCAGGAGCAGCAGGGGTAGCATCAGGACAGCCATGGCCCCCATCTTGTCCTGCTTTTAGGAGGCAGAAAGGAGAAACACAGAGAAAAGGGTTGGTTTTGCAAAGACATTCCTGATCGTGACACCCAAGGCTGCAAGAGCTACTCATTGCAAACCCAAAGCCTCCTCTCCTTCTGCAAGCCCAGCTCTGCGCAAACTCCAGCAGGGTGGGAAGGGTGTCCCTTCCGAGGGGAAATCCCAGTGAGCATGCTAATTCCCCCAAAACTCATCAAATAGGAAGTTACTTACTGCGGCTCTGAAAGCAAATGGAATCCAGGGGAGGGTGTCCTCCCAAAGGTTAATTGCAAATTTAATTCAAGTAAGTCTGCATATTTGGAAGGAAATCCATGTGTTAAGGCCACTTGCTTGGGCCCTAATGGTTATTTATAACCCTCAGTTGCACTAAAAAGCTTTTCAGGGTAAATATAGTGTTGAGGCTGATACTCAGGGACACATGCTGGCCGGGTCTGATTTCAGAATTGGTGCCAGGGCTTTTAAAGCTCTCCCAGCTTGCTGGACTATTTGTGGATTCCTCTGCAGTTGTGGGTTGAGCATTCAGGATCAGAACCTGGGGTTTTCAGTACAACCGTCCCTGTGTATATTTTCTGTTTAAAAAAAAATGTACACACACACACACTCACACACTTCAGGTTGACCAGATGGATAGGGCCACTTTCTAGTAAAAGGATGACAAAAATAATAGAACAGAATGGTGCTTCTCGTAGAATAAGCTGTGTAGGATGAAATATGGGACACAGCACCGTTTGGGAGTGCTTCTCTCCTCTCTGAGTCTTGGTTTCTTCATCTTTCAATTAGACTTCAACTGTCCTGTCTGATAGAACTGTGGAGAAGTCTAAACAGGATGCTGCAAGCTGTGAGCCCAACCTAGACCTTGGGCCCCAAGAACTACTGTTAACTTGCAGTGGTTAAGGATACTAAGACTTTATCCCAAATAGGAGCCATTTTCTTTACATAAGGCTACTCAGAAGGATTTGAAATAAATCCTGTTCAAGTTCTTGGACCATCCAGAAATCAACAGGTGAGGCAGTTAGCCCAGCAGTTAGGACAAAGCTCACCTCTCTCCCTCTAGAGCATCTGGATTCAATTTCTGGCTCCAGCTCTTTGCTAAAGTAGGGCCTGGAAGGCAGCAGGGATGGCTCAGCTGCTTGGATCCCTGGCACCTGTGTGGGAGACCTGGCTGGAGTTCCCAGCTCCCAGCTGCAGTCCAATGCAGCCCCAGCTGTTGCAGGCCTATCGGGGGCAGGAGGGGAGAGAACCAGCAGTGCAGAGCCCTCTCTCTTCCCCTCTGTGTCTTTGCCTTTCAATGAATTAAAAACCAACAAGGATGTCCCTGTTTGGTTTTTTTTTTTTTAAGATTTATTTTATTTTTATTGAAAAGGCGGATATACAGAGAGGAGAAGAGACAGAGAGGAAGAGCCTTCGTCCGATGATTCACACCCCAAGTGAGCGCAACGGCCGATGCGATGCCGATCCGAAGCCAGGAGCCTCTTCCAGGTCTCCCACGCGGGTGCAGGGTCCCAAAGCTTTGGGCCGTCCTCGACTGCTTTCCCAGGCCACAAGCAGGGAACTGGATGGGAAGCAGGGGCTGCCGGGATTAGAACCGGCGCCCATATGGGATCCCGGGCGTGCAAGGCGAGGACCTTTAACCTCTTGCGCCACCGCGCCGGGCCCAGACTTGCGTGTTTCTTTCCGGTCACCTGCCTCCTCTCTGGGAGCGGATGTTGGCCTGATATTATGACTGTCACACAGGTCTGGCCTCTGAGGGCATGGGAACGAAGAAGCTTTACAGAAAAGAGCCCACAATCCTGACAAAGGGCAGAGGCCATTGGGTTCTAGGTTGACAAGTGGTTCTAGGCTGACAACTGTTCACACTGTATATTGCAAAAATTCATGCTTTCTCCAAAATCCCAGGAGATCCACACTTGCCGCGGGGCAGGGCCTGGACTTAAGTCCTAAACACAAAGAAATCCACTAGATTCTTTCCTTCCTTGGATGGGAGGAGGTCACGGTTCAGCACGGGCAGAATGTCTCCATTGGAAGCGTGTGAGCTGTGTTTTCAGAAATGCTGTTTATTCAATGCATGAGAATTCTATTTTTAAATAAATCTGAGCCAGGATGGGTTTAAGGTTAATAGAAACTGGCAAGCCATGCTTCCCTCTAAATCCTGAATTATGTTGCCTGACCATTTGGGCCCCAATTTCACACTAGCTCAAAAGACAAGATAAATTGATTGAGTGTTGTAACAACATGTTAGGAAGCCAGCGGCTCACTGCTGCCTCAGATGAGACTTGTGTGTTTGGTAATGTTTATTTTTAGAAGTAAAAGTGCCTGGCAATTTAATCAGGACAATTCCAACATTTGTTCCACTTCACTGTGATAAGATGTCATGCTGCTGGACTCTGCTTTCTTTTCGTTTTTCCCATCACGCGAGTATCCTTCCTAACTGACTTCACTCTAGGTACGAATTACAAACCTTAAAGAAAAGTATTTTTAAAAATTACAGAAACCTTATTTTTTAAAATTCTAACTTTTTTGGGGGGAAAAGATTTATTTATAATGCAGAATTACAGAGTGAGGGAGAGAATCTTCCATCTGCTGTTTTACTCCAGAAATGGCTGCAAAGGCTAGGACTGGGCCAAGCTGAAGCCAGGAGCCAGGAACTTCTTCCAGGTCTCCCACACTGGTACAGTGGTCAAGAACTTGGGCCACCCTTTGCTGCTTTGCCTGGAGCATTAGCAGGAAGCAGGAGCAGAAGAGGAGCAGGGGGGGGATTCCCAGTGTTCCTATGGGATGTTGATATCGCAGGGGAAGGCTTAACCCATTGCACAACAAAGCCAGCTCCTGTTTCTGACTTTTTTTTTTTTTAAATGTATTCATTTATTTGAAAGTCACAGTTATATATATAGAGAGAGACACACACAAAGAGAGAAAGAGGGATCTTTCATTCCGTAGGTTTATTCCCCACAAAGTTACAAGGATTAGTAACTGGGCTGGGCTGAAAGTTGGGAACTTTCTCTAGGTCTCCCTCATGGGTGCAGGGACTCAAACACCTGGACCATTTTCTACTGCTTCTCCACAGGCAATTAACAGGGGGCTGGATAGGAACTGCGCCAGAACCCTTACAAGATGACAGCACCGCAGTCTGCAGCTTTATCCACCATGCCACAATACCGCACCCCCAACTTTGTGATTAAAGTAAAAGGGAAGCCCGAGACAGCCATAATGCTTTATTGTGTGTGCCAATGAGGGGAAAAATCCTGGCTTTTCTAAAAGTGGGGGAGTATGTTTTGCATTCATTGTATTCAGACTTCTTTTGTTCTTTCCTGCTTCTCCTTTGTACTTGCCTACCCCCCTTTTCTTATTAATTTCACTTTCAGGAACATGTCAGAGGAGGGTTTCCCGAGCTGCACAACCTTCTGAAGCGCACCCTGGCCTCTTGATTGTAGGCACTATTGCCCAGCTTGTCTGCCTATGCAGCTATGAGCCTTGGGCTCCAGCTAGCACACGGATACCTGGCCTGGGGCACCTGGTCCCGAGTTTCCAGGAACAGTCCTCAGAGCATGCCCAGCAGGGCTGGGAGCAGCCTGTGTTTCTTCAGTAGATTCTGGAAAGTGATGTGGAGGCCAGTGACTAACATCCCGTACGCCCTGCTTCTCTGCAAACTCCCGGCGGGCAGTGGCAAATCTGTTCATGGCTGTGACAGCTACAGCCATGCAGAGGGTGAAAGAACCCCAGGCGAGGCTGCAAACAAAAGGCACAGTTAGGAAAGAGCCTAGGATGCTGATACTGGCGCCCCCTGCTGTTGGGGCAGTTTGGTGGAGAATCAGCTTCTGGTTCTACCCCACTGGGACCTGTGTTTTGGATCATGGATCCCAGAGACCAGCCAGTGGATTGTTTAGTCCAGTAGTCAAGGAGGACAGATTCTGCAGTGACCATCGTGCATCTGCACCATGGCCTCATCTCTGCAATTCTGTGATCTTAAGCTGGTTCCTTTAGCTCTTTGCATTAGTTTCCTCAGCTGTGAAATCGTAACGACCTCAATGGTACATGTCACGCTCCAGCTGTCTCCAGAGAGGGACGTCAATGAAGTCAGAAGGAATTCTATGGCCATAGCCTCGTATGCAGATGGTAGGGCTCCCCAGGTTTCCCCTGTACCCCCAGACACTCCCTGTCTCCTCTCCCCCCAGGGCAGCAAAGCGTTAGCCTCTGGAAAACGTGATGATGAAGAGGAAAGACTTCGGATTCATTCCATAGAATGAATGGCTCTGAGAATAAGGGAGAACATGAAAGTTTACATCTGGAGTGGGAGGCTCTTTCCAGCCTCTCTGCCAGGCCCAACCTTCAGAGTGTCAATAGGCAACTCATCCTCCCATCCTGCAGATCCTGGGCGAGTTGCCCTCTGAAGATGCTGCAGTGGATGCAGAGAAAGACCCTCCATCAAGTGACATATGTGCAATGCTGCTGCAGATGGAATTCCCAGGTAAATAAGAGGTCTCCGTGCTTCATCAATACAGACAAGCCTACCAGTAGACGGATCACAGCCCCAGAGCTCCCAGTTAACCTTGACTATGACTTGACAATCAAGGACTCCACCCTAGAGGGGAAAGTCTCAAGAATGAGCAGAAAAAGAAAGAAGGGAAGGCAGAGAGGAAGAAAGAAAGAAAGAAAAAAGGGATGCTAAAGAGAAGTGATAACACAAGATGCAGAGGAAACAGCAACACACAAAAAAATCCCACTTACGAATATAAATGGCTTTATATTATAAAGGCTACCTCAGTAAAGCAAGATCAAGAGACAGAGAAATGGGAACAACTGAAAAAAAAAAAAAAGGAAGACTCCTTGGATGTTAAAACAAGATTCCCAATGGGAACTGAACTGCATAGAAGGGTTAGGAGCTAAGTAGAACACCAGTTTCAGAAAGTGTAATGCTAGATATGTAACACGAGATAATCTAATGCCTAGAATAAGAATTCTCTCAAAAGCAAACAG